GTTTGTGACATAGTAGGGGGTAATTTCTGGATCTACTCAACCGATTTAAATGAAGTTTGGTAAGAAGATAGTTTGAGACCCTGCGAAGGACTTTTTATCCCAGAAATCATCCCTTAAGGGGGTGAAAATTAGTAGTATTGGCAAGCAAGCTAGGGACGAACCCGAGCGAAGCGAGGGTGAGTAGCTAGAGTTATATAAATGTAGTAATAAAATATTGTATGTAATTATTTCGCACATAGACGAAGATCAGGAGCTTCTGGTATATATCAGATTTTTTTATATTCAGACTAAAATCATTAATATTGTGGGCTTTTTAACATTCTAGGCTCGAACCCGCTACCTTCAGTAGATAAATAGTGACAGTCATATTGACCAATTATTCAGTTATTATTCGAAAAAGAATCCTGAAATTTACTAAGCAATATATCACTAATTTTGACACATTATGCTACATCAGTCTGCTTCCTGGTATTAGAATATATGTGCTTTTAGGTTTGACCTAGATTCGTATTCAAATTTTACCACGAATTTGAATTTCGGGTTATAGAGGCCTAAAACAAAGGAATACAAAGTTTTCGAGTTTCCAGTTTGTTTTACATAAGAGCCACTCTTGTGGTTTTATCGGAACTTTCCGTGACTCAAAGTGTCCTATTTGTAGTGTTAGCTAAAAATATTGTTTAATCTTAAAGTGGAAATGTTGAATATTCTCAAGCAATGTTATTTTCATTAGTAAAAATTTTTATAGGTGTTGTTTTTGCTATTTATAATTCTCTCTCTTATTTACAAATCTCTTGTGCTACATAGCACTTTGGCTCAACTATTAAAGATATGAAAAAGATGCCCGATTCTGGTTAGCATGAAGTATTCTTTTGATATAAAAGGAATATTAGTTAAAAGAAAATATTCACAACAATAGTATTTGAAGATAAAAAGTCGTATGCTTATCGGTTTTTGTCTTATCAAAAGTTAAAAAATATATATTACTCGTACATATTACATAACTAAATATTTATATATTAGGTATGTTTTGTAGATTTATAGTTTAAATATCATTGATATATTAAAATTGATTTTAGTTGTTAATTATTCTTTCTAGTGGTCAAAATTCGATTAAAATCATTATATAAAATTTCTGGAAAATATATTATATGACATATATACTAAGATGTATATAAAAAAGTAACTTCAATAGCTACTAAATAAAAAAAAAAAAGAAAATTTGTTGACAAACAGAGGAAAAAAGTACAAAATTGTTGTGTCTTTGCCTTGATATATAGGTAAATCGATGTCATTTTACTCGTATTTTCGTATTTTGGAAGTCTGTTAAGTTTAATAAGAACATTACACAACTAAGAAAACACTAACAGAATACTCTAAATAAGTAAAGGATGAGGAGGATCAAGAAAGGTACTAACCTTGTCAAAAAACTAAATTTGCCTTATTTAGAAAATATATGTGGTCTCTTGCGAATAACATTTTATTTCTATCAGAGGCCATATATGGCCTTATAACTTCTTATAGAAGTCAAGAACTTCAACAATAGTGCGCGTGTAGATTGCGGGATTTCTTTGTTCAAGTTATACACCATGTATGTGTTTAGTTACCCTAAAATTCATACAAATGTAATTACATTGGGACCATTATAAATACTATTTATTTCATAATTTAATATTAGAATAAGAAGTATATATGTATGTATGTATTCAGTCCTTTTTAACGTCTCACTGCTGAGCATGGGCCTCCCTTCAATACGAGGGGGCCATAGTCCACCACGCTGGCTAAGTGCGGGTTGGCGGACTTCACGTGTCTTTCGAAAACTTGCTAGGTTCTCTTAGACATGCAGGTTTCCTCACGATGTTTTCCTTCACCTTATGTGGTAATCATGTTAGAAATGATTCGCACATGAAAATATCAGAGGTGCGTGACTCGGGATTTGAACCCGCTTCACTCGGTTTCCCAATTGATAGTGTATATATATGATACAATATAATATAATTAGAAAAGAAATAGGTCGGTTATTAAAGCCATACTAATTTATTAGCCATTTCTGACGTTAAAACAGAAAGAACACTCACCTTTTTATATCTAAAATTTTCTTGTTATGTTACAAGCAATTTTTATATCAATTTCGTACATATATAATATCGGCACTAACTATTTGAATAATATATGTAAGATATACTAAAATAATAACGACGTGTGTAATTTGAAAACTAAAAATGCATTTTCTTTGGAGCAAATATAAAATTTTGTTCTCTTGGCATTGCAGTGAGAGCCCTCGGCGCTTACAGAGTATAGTCAAGTGTGAACCATCAGTACGTTGTTAGCTTGACAGGCTTTTTAAACGATATTTTTGTTACATAAAAACTGACCTCGCTAGCGATTTATGAATAAAAAACTCAAATTCATATATTGGCATGCTACTGAATATTTTGTATTGAAGAATTTAAACAATCTATTTTGAAAGTGAACCGTGTTTTTACACACGTTTTATATTTTATTTGCAAAAGGTAACTAATTGCTCTTATTTACTTTGAGAATTTTCCATTTAGACTTGCGTTATGTAAACAATAACAAACTATTGTTACAAAGTTTAGCAAATTTTGTTATTAAGTACGCATAATTTCGATGAAATACTTTAAAAATTAAATAAATATCCATAATAATATTATAAATGTGAAAGTGTGTTTGTTTGTTGGCCTAATTTCATGTCAAAACAGAGCGACGGATTGGCGTGATTTGTGTGGAGATAGTTGGAGGGCTGGAGAGTGACACAGGCTACTTTATACCGCGGGAGATTATCTCATTCCCACAAGAAAATACATTATAATGCAACCGAAAAAAATATTTATGATCTGAATTACTTGAAACGGTATTAATGCTCTTCGATATAATTAAATAAATACGTCTTAGAGCATTTTTCGAAATTCATCCCATAAGGGGGTAAAATAGGGGATGAAAATTTGTATGAAAACTAGCTTTTTAGAGTTCTTTTTTGTAATTTTAGCGTGAACGCAGCCGCGGGTTCTGCTTGTAACTAATAATATCATTACGTTATCACTTCTTATCAAAGCATCGTTTTGAAACGAATGTCAGACGTGCCTTGCAAAAGATTTCCGACTAAATATGCGTTTTGAACTTTGCCTACGGCTTTCTCCACGTGAAAAGCTCTTTAGAAGTATATAATGTGACTCTTTAGAAATATATAACGTGATAATTTCAGGATTGAATTATTGTTTTAAAATAATATGAATTTTGAACTATTCTGTGCTAGATGATACAAAATTTATCCAAAGTGGTGGTAAAGTTGTATGGAAAACAATATTTTTTGGTTCATATTAAATAAAAATAATCTGCAGTAATTTTTAAGCAAGCAATCTTATTTTATTTTTAATTCCATACCAATTTTACAGCTAATAGAAAATTTTATGAAGCTATTGACCCAACATTTTCTAATTTTATGAAAGAAGGGTCTAAAATCACAAGGCCCTTTCCTTAACGAAATCTATTTTTATATTTAAAAGACCATCCCTCTGATTGCTCAAGGGACCTCGTTTAGCCTTTAAAGACCCTTCATGTTTACTCACAAGAAATAACCATGTTCGAGCCACTGAATTTTGTAGCGTATCTTAGAAAGAATTAGTACTCATATAAAGGTTAAGGAGAATATTGATAGAATGTATCATGTATAGAAGGATATGTTGAAAATAAAAATTACAATTTTAGTTGTTGGGTTTAGAATGCGATTAAAAAATTCACAACTGTACTAAAGTTTAAGCTTATTGCCTTAATAATAAATCTACGTATTACCCAATATGTGTATTCATCAATTTTATTTTCTTATTCTGACTAAAGTTTGTATATTTTAATTTAATTTTCTATATAATTATAAAGAGATAAAGTTTATAAGTTGGTGAGTTGTTTGTAGGAAGTAATCTCTGAAACTACTGAACCTATTTAGGTAAAATTTTGTGTATTACAGTTATAATTATTTTGAAGAAAATATTTAAAATAGCACCTAATTATTATTTTCAACATTTACAATTTCGCAAGTAAGTGTTGCACTCTATTACGTGTGTACTCTAAAAGTGTGGTGGAACAAGAATTCGATACGATTGATGAGAGATAAAGGCTGCTACTGAGATTTCTTAACAGAAAATCCAATACCTAAACATGACTTAACTCGGGACACGCACCCCTGTACCTTCAGGTCTGAAGCCGTTACGCTAACTAGGTACTAGACAAAAGTGTTAGGTTCGTGCAGTTTCATTTGGTTTTTTGGTTGTCTGAATGCGCTTATCTCTGGAAGTGCCAGTCAAATTTGAAAAAAATATATTTTGCATTTCATAACCAACTAGTGGCTTATCCTCACTTCGCTCAGGTACTTTTAGTTAATTTCTGACTTTAATCAAAGATTTTATGATTTCTGACAGTAAACGCATTTTAATTAGAATAAAAACCAAAGCACTCGGCGGCAATGTCAGCATTTTCAGATGAAAGCTTCCATAGATCACCATTTACATCTAAACTTACAAACTTCAATTCCTTATAATATTACTGTAGACTAATGAAAAGGGCTAATAAACTTCAGTATCACACTACGAACTTTAACTATAAAAGAATTTTATACGAATAAACTATGCAAGCAGATTCGCGGGCAAAAGCTAGTATCTATTCAATTATATTATAAAAAAATATCTTATTACTAGCGGCTCACCCAAGCTTCACTCGGGTTCGCCTCTAGGAAAACAAACGCAAACCTATCGGGAAACGTACCTTTTTCCTGGATAAGAAGTAGCCCACGTATTATTCAAGACTATAATCTATCTCTGTGCCAAATTTCATCCAGATCCGTTCAGCCGTTCTGGCGTGAAAGAGTAACAAACATCCATACATACTCACAAACTTTCACGTTTATAATAATATTAGTATAGATTTGCAGTCTCAGTTAAAATATACTTTACCTTTAATTAAAAATAATAACTAATTTTTCTTTTCAGATCGATATCCAATTACGTGAAAAGAGACACTTATGGATTGACAAAATCGAATTTTCAATACAGCGGTGAGTGCTCTTACATTACAAAGAAAACAATAGAAATAGAAATTTAATATTATTTTTAATTATATTATTCTATTATAAAATAATATATAATGTGGAATTATTTTACGGATACATTTCAATTGACTTATGAGTACTTTTCATGTTCATAAAATATCGTATAGTATTGCTAATGCTAACCTCTACCATGTGTCGCAGTGATTTTACTATATTAATATAAGTCGCGGGTTCGATTTTCGAAATTTGATGTCATCAATGTATTTATAATAAAACTAGCGACTTACCCTCGCTTCACTCGGGTTCGTCCCTACGTTGGTTCCCCATACAAACTTTCATCCCCATTTTCACCCACTTAAGGGATAATTTCTGGGATAAAAAGTATTCTATGTCCTTCCCAGGGTCTCAACTATCTTCTTACCAAATGTAATCTAAATCGGTTCTGTAGATCCAGAGTTTACCCCCGACCACCTCACAAACTTTACCTCTTCATAATATTAGTATAGAAAAAAGTGGCTGTAGTACTAACACAGCATAACGTATTAAGATTCTTTGACAGCCAAAGCCGAAACAACTAAACAAAAAAGGAGAAAAAGTTACTGAACTGATTTTTCTTTGCCTATTTATATAGATTTATGTAGATTTTCAACATAATAAAATTAGACTGACTGGCTGACAGACAACCTAAACCGCTGGGTAAACCGTAAAGGACATGAAATGTTGGACATGTGTTACTTATAATATAACAAAGGTGAACATTAAACAAGAATTTATGGAAATAATTTAAATAGGGAATGAAATTTTATAAGACAGTTTACTATATTTGAAATCTATACATATAATAAAATTCTAACTGAGGCGAATTTGTACATTAAATATTTTTTGAAATGTTTTATTGAAATAGACATTATTATCGATACAGAGGCCGAATCTATAGTTTTTAGAATTTTTGTCTGTCTGTATGTCTGGGAACGCAACACGAGAAAACCACTGGACAGATTTTGATGAAATTTGGTATGATGATAGCCGATTATCCGGATCAACATTTAGGATACTTTTTATTGGGGGAAATTATCTCATCTCTGAGAAATCTATACAAACCTTAAAACGTAGGGACGAACTCGAGCAGATGGGTAGTCGCTAGTTAGTAATATGAATATTTATGAATATATATATTCGTCTATTCATATTTTCGATAGGAAATACAAAATCTATCAAAATCTATCTACAGTACAAAATCTTAATCATTATTATTGTTCAATTATCAGACAAAAAATGTTTCAGGATTCAAAAGAAGAAGCAAACGCTTTAAGAGGTCATTACCAATGATTTTATCACAGCACTTCAGCGAGACTACAGTTACGCCTGGCGTTGATGTAAGTATATAAAAAATAATAATATTATAAAAAAAATTAAAAAAAAGTTTAAATTTCTTATTTATAATTATTATTATAATAAAATTACACGTAAATAAGTATTTTTATTATAAAATAATAATAAAAAAAACAACTGCCAGTCGTAAGTCGTCTGACGTGCGTCAGAAGTGAAAACTTCTTAGCTTCCCAAACTTGTAAACATCATATAATAATAAGTTAAGTAATAAAAATTTCATTTCTTGCGCTGTTTTACATGAAAAATAATGATTATTATCTATGTAATAAAAACAAATTTATAAATATATCAATTTTATAAAATATAACTAAACACTTCGTAAAATGACTCTCTGTCTCTCTGTCACTTTAGCGTCACTATGTATCCGAGCGTGACGGTCACGCGAGTTCAGTGCTTTTTCCCCATCCCAAAAGTGCCCAATGTGCCTAAAGAAGTTTTCACTTCAAAAATCTTTATTCCTAAGATAAGTCACTTAAGCACTACTAGCTTCATCTCACTTTGTCTAGATCAACATAGAGCCTAAGTTTCCATTTACACTTGTTATTTGTACTAATGGTTAAACCATATGCTATTAATAATTTCTAAAATCGAGTAAAGGGTTTATTACCTTCGAAGTTTTATAAGGACTTATATACATAATATTTCGAATCCCAAACTTAATTGGCTGTTTAAATTCACACAATATTGTGTTTTATTGCCCTTGTAATATGGTTTTCATGAATTTCAAATGTAATTACTCTCACGAGACGTTTGTATTAGAGGAAATTGAACTCTTTCACAGCACAATAAAGTTTGGATTAGATTGTATAAAAGTAACGTTTCGTCAGTAGGTTGGCGTGATGTTAGATTTGTTTTGAAAAGTCACATTCATGTTACATTTAGTATCAAATAATTTATAGAGAAAGTAATGCTTTATCAAAAGAGATAGTTTTAACCGAAACTAAGATTTAAGTTAATCAGAAATACATTACATTATAAAAAAGATTAGACATAAATATAATAAATGGGTATTTAATGCCAATAACCAATAATTTCTAGATACAAATTTTCTAAAAAACACGTTTGGTCAACCCTTAAAGCCTGATTATTTTAAATTAAATGCAAAATTATATTTTTAGTTACTTTGACACTACGAATAAATACTCATTATTTATTCGTAGTTTTAACATCAACAGATAATTATACTTATATAAAGTAACGTCACAGGCTATTGTCATATAAATCTAAAGGCGAGTTGCTTAATTTATTGGCGTTGGAACATTGCACAAAACATATGCCCCATTTCCTATTGTGGCACAATGGGATTCAATCCCTAAACTTTCCCACGGGATCCCACGGGTTTATGATGAGCTTGTTTTGCTATAAACAAAATGCTTGACGAATTGTGAAGAAAACGTCTTTTTTATACACTTTTATATACTTCGATTGTATTTGCATCACTTTTTAGTACAGTTTCTTAGAGATAATTTTAAATAATTTGACAGACGAGCGCGTCACGTTATTTATTAATATAGGTAGTCTTTGAAACTTGAGAAGACTAAAATTAATAGCGCACGTTATATTTATAATTAATATATATAATTAATAATAGTTATAATTAATATATAATTATGTTAGTTTTAAGTAATATAATATGCTATGGGCAGTTTACATATTTAAGACCTTTTTGTAAATATTGCCTGAAATAAATGATTAAATAAATAAATTAAATAAATGAATATTCTATTCTGACGAGTTATAAAGACATACGATAATATTAAGTGTAAAGTACATATTCCAGTATCATAAAAAAATATTTTAAGTAAAATAAAAAAAACATTATAAATTTGCTCTCATTTTTCTTTCATATTTTCTTAATATAAATATTCATCAAACATTGATGTAGGTTGGAGGTTAAATACATATACTAAGAGAATATTTTAAGAGATTAATATATTTCTAAGCTAATATTATTTTGCAAAAGTTAAAATAGAAATTATTTTCTTAGGTAAACCTTAAATGTATAGTCAATGGCCCTCATCCTGCGAGATTTGTTTGGGAGAGGGACGGTGTTGTTATCTCTTCCAATACAGATTCTAGGTAAGTTTATATTAATTAAAATCTATTGTATAATACAATTTATATAATTTCCTATGCATTTAGTAAAAAGCTTTTATTTCGACATTACAAACAGACACTTGCAATTTTATTTATCTGTATAGATAAGAAATATTTTCAAGTTACCTATAATTTTAAATTTGTATAGAAATGAAAAAATATAGCATCGACATATTAAATCTTTGTATTGTATAATTAATAATTAAGCCTTAATGTTAATGTTCTTTGTTCTGTCTTTATGTACTTCTTTAGAATTTTTTTATTAAGTACCTACCTAGTTGACCCGATAAACGTTGTCTTGTCCAAATTTCAATAAAGTAAAAGTATTTTGAGTTCATAGAATTATCCGAATTTCCTGATTTTTGTGATGAATTATCCAATTTTTGGTCTCTTAAAAATCTTGTTGTTGTTATGTTTCTATTGAAAATGTTCGAAATTACGAACATTTGACTTCAAAAAGAAATGTACTGAAACGGTCCCGCCGTTCTCAAGTGATGAGCTTACGAACATAATTTCTTTTTTAAAAACGTAATATGTTAATCAAATTCCTTAGTAGAAATACCCTATATATATGATTCACTTAACGCAGTTTTTTGCGATGATATCGATACAAACGCGCAACGAGCGCTACAGACGTACATATTTGAACGTGAACAGAATATGTAATAATATATAATGCAAACGTACAACAAACGCAAGCAATGCTTTATTTCGATGCATTTTTTTCAGAAATACGCTGTGACTGTGCGTTAAAAAGTCTCTGTGTGCATGAGCCTTTAATTTAATTTACTCGATTTTAGGTACTCAATAGGTCAAACTATGACTACTGATGGGGTAATGACGCAGTTAAACATTTCACATGTGAGAGTGGACGATGGCGGTAGATTCGCGTGCGTCGCTCATCATGGCGATACTATGGTGTCTCATGAGGACAGGGTTAACGTTTATGGTATAATATATAAGGATATATAATTTTTTTTTGGTTTGAGCTACTCTTTGTTTTTTAGCTAACTTAAAAAAATATAGCGTTTATTTTTGACTTCTGACATGTCCAAAATCTTTGACAAATGCTGACTAATAAATCATCATTAATGAATAATGTCAACTTAAAACATACGAAGAAATAATAAAAAAAATGTAAATGTGTCAGTGTTGGGTTCAAAAATTTTGTGTTTTTATAGCATGATTTGATTTTACACATACTGCATTTTTAAATTAGGTTGAAAGTTCAAATAATAATTTCTTCGTATTAAAATTCTCATTGTTAAAAGAACAAATAAAATGAAAAAAATAAGTGTATTATTATATAAAAATTAATATTTTTTGTTCATTTTATTTGTTATTTTAGCCTATAGTAATTTTTAACTATAACAAAAATACAAAATATAATGATTTAATTTCCGCTTAAACTCAATCATGGACATGTCAGAAAGTTTTAAAAATAAAGTTTTAACTTCCAAGGGCCGCCCTACATCCGGACATTGCCACCCTTCAAAGTTCAAAGCGGTCAAAGTGTCACACTCAGATGTCCATACTATGGGTATCCAATTAGGTAAGTTTTTTAGAGTTCTTTATAAATATTATAAATAAAAAAAATGTATGTCTGAATTGTGCAAACCATGTGCATAATTTTTTTTTTAAATGAAAGAGGTTTCAACATGTTTGAACTGAAGCTAGAATTAGCAAACCGCCGCCATTTTATCAACGTAGCGGCATTATTATGAAACTTGTATAAATGGATAGACCATAATTTAACAAACCAATAATATCAACAATATGATGCCTTAAGATGTGTTAGAGATATTTAAAGTAAGGGTATAAGTGATATGATAACTATCCTACTAATATTATAAATGTGAAAGTTTGTGAGGATGGATTGTTGGATGTGTGTTACTCTTTCACGCCAGAACGGCTGAACAGATCAGGATGAAATTTGGCACAGAAATAGAATATAGTTCGAAATAGCACAAAGGTTAGTTTTTGTCCCGAAAAAATGTATAATTCCTGCGGGATAGATTTATTTTTGTCTACAGTTAAAACTATTTTTTGAATACAACTATGTTACCGAGTATTTTTTTAATGACTTCTGTATAAATGTACTTAGTACGTAATGAGTTTTTAATGCGATACATTTAGCAAGTCTTACCTTTAAATATCTCGGAAACGTGACTTTTTCAGGGCATTATATTCGTTGTTTATTACATTTATTTTACTGTCTTCTATCATACATTATATTTCATTCGTGCACTGCCAGATTGAAAAAAAAAACAAAATAACGGAATGCTAGCAATGATTCTATTCCAATGATCTTTATAATATATTTATTAGTTAATATACTATAAAGATTAAAAATACGATTCTTAAAACTTGTTTTTGATTAATTATTACTATTATTGTGAAGTAAATAAGTAATAACCTTTCCAGAGAAATAACGTGGGAGTATAAAGGGAAAGAGTTGAACTCAGATTCCACACAAGTTAGATACAAACGATTCATAAACAACACCGCTTTAAGCATAGAAATATTCGGTCGTAAGCCAAAATTAAGACAAAAAAGGGATGTAAGTGTCACAAATGGGGTTTTAAACCTAAACAGAGTGAGTAAAAGCGAAAATGGAGTGTTATTTGCCTGTATAGTTCGAAGTCCTTCTGGTGAAATGGCAAAACGTGCGTTTGAATTGCAAATAGTAGAATCGCCTCAGTTAGAGGAAATATTGTTAGCCTCAGACCTACAAGAGGGCCAGATAGTACAAATACATTGTAATTTAAAGAGCGGGGATTCCCCCGTTTATTACTCCTGGTTAAAGGATGGGAAGAAAATACCTGCGCATTTAAAGGTGAGTTGTGTAAATGTATTATTGTTTTTATAACTATTAATATTTTTTTCTATTCAATTAATTCAATAAAGAAATATGTAAAATTTTATTAATAGAATTATAATTAGAAGTTTTTTAAGTTTGATTCTTTGTTTTTATTAAAAAATGCTTTAAATACGTTATATATATTAAACATATGTTTTTTATAACTATAGACAAAATTACGTTAACTAAATTTTAATTTACGTTAATTAATAGGACACTTAAAATAATTTTGAACTATTTTATTGCTAAGATTAATTTTCATTAATAACTATGAAACTGACAGACTTATCTTACTTAATAGAAATACCTAATAATAAAAAAAACTAATGTTACTGCCTAATTAATAAATAATTTTTGTGCTCATGATTATGATTTTTTACTTAAATTAAATAATAAAAAATCACAAGCAAAGTCCCGAACAATGAGTAGTGCAATATTAAATTTATCTAGTTTTAAAATAGCATACGTTATACGTAATCTAGTAAGCGCGCAATGTCTTTGTGTATGATATTTCAAACATCACACAACTGACTGAATATTTTGTATTTTGCCCAGTAATATTATTACCAACATGCACCTATTAAAAAAAATATGTACTAATATTCTAATGCTGAAAAGATGGCTTGTTCTTTTGTTTGTTTGAACGCACTTATGTCTGGTACTAGAAGTGAAATTTAAAAAAAAAAGCGTTTTATAGCTCACTTGTTTAATTGGGGTGTCTGCCTAGATGCCTAATAATATTGTTTTATGCCTCTAGCCGTTTTAACGTGAATGTGTAACAAGCGTACACAAACAAACACACACACACACACACACACATACACACAAACACACGCACCCGAACATACACATACTATTAATTTGGGTACGCTATGTAGATAATCTGATTTATAAAGGAAGGTAACATGCTATCTCTTATCACAATGCAGCTCAATTTCACTTGACTTGTACAGTAATAGTTAATGTGTTTATTTTTTGTATATATAATTCATAAATTACATCATAATTGTATGAAACTGGTATAAAATTATATTTTACCCTTTACAAGCATGCTTGAACTAACCACAAAACAGCAAACCTAACAATTTGCACAATGTTTTTTGCAGGCACTACTGCCTCTTATAATTTAGACTTAAAGCAATACGCGACAAAGACAAAAATTGACATATCTAGTGTATCTTAAATAACTTTGATTACAATACCCACCAAAATAATAAAACCCAAACAAAATATTAATGCCAGCGAGAGATTTCCTTTGAAACCATCTATTTCTTTAGAAAACTCGCATCGGAATCGGTCTCTTCATTTCGGAGCGACGATGCCACAGATACATACATAATATAAGTACTAATATTACACACATACAGGCTTCATTCTAATAACACAACTCATATTTTATCTTAAGAAAGGCTTTACTTATTAAGTATTTCTATTTAATTTCAACATAAAAACACTGTACTCTAGAAAACATTTGGGCAAATATTCCGTAAGTATCTCCGCTATGAATGCTATTAACGTCCGGAATTTCTTTGTATACAATGCTTTAGGACGTGACTCTATAGTTTGAATTGAACACGTAATAAAAGACTAAATATAAAATGTATTTATATGTAAAATATGATATAGCTTTAAGCTATTATTCTTTGTGAGTGTAGAAGAGAACAATTTTTGTTTGGGACATTAACACACAGCACTATCTAGTTCCATGGTAAGCTACGAGGCTTGTGTTATGGATACCAGATAGTTGATACACTACACATATATAATATTAAATACATACATATTGTAAATATAAACACCCATGACTGGAGTACAGACATTCGTGCTCATCACATAAATGAATGCCCCTAGCGGGACTCGGAACCCGCGACCGCTGACACAGCAAGTAGAGTCACTACAAACTTTTTTTTTTTAACGTTGGGAAATGCATTTACGCACGAGGTGTGGGACTCACTGGCAAAGCCAGTACTACCCACTAAAACCCAACAAAACCTTCCTCCGTCTTAATGGGGCGTCGCAGGATCGCTTACGCATTCAACTACGACGCCCCGACGGCAGGTCTGCCGAAGCAGACCACAACAACCACGGGGTTGCTCCACAGTCCACTCTGCTATCAGAGAAGTACCAGGAGCAACCCGCATGGTACACTGCCCTCCGAAGAGGGCCACCTCCCACCGACCACCGAAGTGGGCTACCTCCCTGTGCGTTTCTTGGCTTCGCGCCCGGTTGGGTTGCCGGGCACTACTGAGCCCCCCACCACGACAAGGTGAACGCACGTTGGGGGGTAGAGTCACTACAAACTGAGCCAACATTGTCGTCAAACTATACCTAAAAAAACTGAAGTTTGCCGAAACAATACTTTGGAGTACAATACTTTGGAATTGGTATATAACGTGAGCTTACATTATAAATGTCGATAAGAGCTAAAATTTGAAAAAAGGTTAGCATTAGATCAGCTTTGAGAAAACAGCATTCCTATTACTTTACTAAACTCGTATACCCAATAAATAAAAGTCTTTAGCATTTATGTATTTTCGAACCTTACACGCATGTATAGGTAGGTGTATGTAGGTTAGACTTGACATATGAAAAAACACAAAAACAAAAACGCACGCACATAAACACACACACACACACACACACACACGAGCGCGCGCACATAAATCTATGTAAAAATTGGTATACAAAAATGCTTCTGAAATCATAATTTCGCGGGCATTAATGTACGAAACAGTTTCAACTAAATATTAATGTTTTCTTTATGATACCACTAAAAGGGAAATTAATATCTTTAAGTTATTTTTAAAATGAAGTTTTTAGTTTTGTTTTTGTTAAATAAAATTAACATTATTAGTTTTACCCACTAAATATATAACCTAAGTAGTTAAAGCGTGAAATTGTATAGTGTTTACAAAATTGCCATGCAAATGGTATTAAAGTGGGGAATGTCTTTGGTACAGATTGTAGAGAGGAGCTTGGAAGTATTCAGTGTGCTTATAATCAAGAATGTGTCTTTAGAACACTGCGGGACGTATACGTGCGTCGCCGCCAACCATGTCGCTAAAGTTAATAGAACAGTTAATTTGTATATAAAAGGTATGTTTTAGTATAATATTATATTTTAAATGTCAAAAATTTTAGTTTATTTTTAAATATTTTGTTATATTATATTAGATTTTTTTATAAAAATACTTTATAATACACTAGCTGATACGTGAAACGTCCAATTCTAATATTAATTTTTAATCTTTAAGGTCAAAGAAAATAATATAGAAAAAAAAATTTTTAGTTTCTCCCAAAATTACCATGTTTGAAAACACCAAATTGGTATTTTAGAATTACACATAATGTTTGTCAAAAACAATAAAAGAGAATTAATTTTAATTAAATCCTCATTAAAAATCATAAACATTTTGAATATTACAATATTTTTTTAAAAGTTGAACTATAATTTAGAAATGTTTTATCCAAAATATTTAATATTCAGTTGCTCCTAAGTGGAGTGAAGAGCCACAGAATACCTCTCTACTGTTGGGAAGAAACGGCCACATCTCTTGTAGAGCTAACGGCTACCCGCAGCCGCAAACACATTGGTTGAAAAAAGATAGTAAGTATTTCTTACATACTTTTTGTTTTTAACGATACGTTTTTAATACCAACTAGTAGTTATTGTGACAGTAACTTAGGAGATATACACACGCTATCGAGTATTTTTTCGTCTAATCGTAAATTCGTGCATACATACGTAATATGTACTGCTTGTATGTATGTCTCTGACTGCATAATACTATGTGACTTCGTCAACTTGTTCTCGTCTTTTTAGTTCGCTTTTTACACAGTTGCATTTTTTATTTTTGTGATTATTTATATTATCATATTATGAACACCACCTGTTGACAAATTTTAACAGTAATTAGTGTTTAGTGCATAGTAACAGTGCATAGGCTTTGGCTGTGCACTAAACATCCAAATCCGTCCAGGGATGAAAGACATACACACATACATACAAACTTTCGCATTTAAATACTAATAGGATAAACTAGCGACTTACCCTCGTTCCGCTCGGGTTCGTCCCTACTTCCGTTTTGACGTTTAGTATAAATTTCTCAGAGATGAGATATTTTCCAATAAAGTATCCTATATGTTGCCCGGATAACCAGCTATCATCATACTAAATTTCATCAAAATCACTCTAGTAGTTTTTCCGTGTTGCGTTCCCAGACAGACAGACAGATATTTTTTTTTTAAAAACTATGGTTTCGCCTCTGTATCGATAATAATACCTATTTCAATAAGATTTTTGAAAAAATATATAATGTACAGATTTGGCTTAGTTATAATTTTATTATATGTATAGATAATACAATAACAAATATTTTAGTTATATCAGAAACATGGAGACCGGTGTTAGAAGTGGCGGGTGGAGGTGTCCTTAGTTTGTCGAACGGATCTCTTATATTTGATTCTGTCGCGCTATCCGACGCCGGGCTTTACACTTGTCACGTTGAGAACGGGGTCGGGGACGCGTTGAGTAAAACTATATGGATTTCTGTTAACAGTAAGTGATTTTACTGGGTTTTATATATTTTTTATTACTTAAACAAACTTTTTTATAAGTAAATAAATGTATATTAATTAATGATATTATTTTATTTATTTATTAATGATAAAAATTTCAAATCAAATTCGTGCTTGATAATTTAACTATAAATATTAAATTAAATTTAAAATTTCAATATGAATTAAAAAAAAAACTTGTTTTTAAATATATACATTTTTATTTATTTTATAAGATACCTTTATGTTGAAATGAATGAATGAAAGTCCAAAAGATATATAATCATATATAATTTTCTTTTAGAACCAGTAACATTCGACATAATATCTAGAAATCTAACCGCCAAATTAGGGAAACACGTAACAATAGAATGCCAAGCGAAAGGCGACGACCCGATACGGATTATGTGGACGAAGAACGGAAAACCCATTAATCCGTTAACGCAAAGGTATTTTTAATATAAAATATTATTTACAATAATATTATTAAAATATCAATAATAAATTAATAATATATTTTTAATTATATAAAATGTAAAAAAAAGTAATCATATCATTAATCCAATTATTGTACATATTTTAATATTTTATGAAACATAAATATATTATTGATAATTTTACATTTAAATATTAATTATTTTGTGATAAAATATTATTAATTTCTATATTATATGTTAAATAAAATAAAATATTTTCAGAGTGAAAATATCCGAAGCGAAAACAGACGAAGGCATGACGAGTATACTTGAGTTGTTACAAACGGAGACGAGTGATGGCGCGTTATATCAGTGTAAAGCGGGAAACCCTTTCGGGGCTGATGTTTATAATGTTTACTTAACTATATTAGGTAAGTTATTATTATATGATATATAAAAATATTAATATGATTCTAATTTTATTTTTATTGCTCCCCAATACTAACTTTCATCCCCATTTATATCCCCTTATGGGATGATTTCCGTGATAAAAAGTCAATACAACCTCACAAACTCACAAGTTTTACCTTTTTATAATACGAGTATTAGTATAGATTTTCCGACTTCATTCACAAATATGAACAATCAACATATTTATAACGATAGGTTATTTTCTCAAAATGTTTATAAATTATAGCTTATAACCTTTCTAAATAATTGTGCTATCCACAGGTGAAAACCGAATGAAAATTAGTGCAGTATTTTCTAAGATTAGCCCGAACAAACTTATTTAACTTTAATTTATAATACGTAATGCCAATATGCGAACTGTCCGTTATTTTTAATTCGATAAACGAAAAATATTTTTTTTCCTTATAAATTCTATCGCTCCATTCTAAACTTCAAGTTAAATCTCAAAACTCTTCTTAACTAATACCTATATCATTATAAGATGCTGTCAAAATAGTAGCTCTGTATCCCTGTCTCTTAGGGGTCGTGTAACTAACATCTGAAGGACTAAATAAGACCGACCGACATTTTCACACGATGGGTACACTTGAGACGATGGTTCAAAGCTAGAAATCTTTGTCACAGTGCTAACAATTTGTATATTTAAAGAGAAAAATGTTTCAAATTCATAATAGATTTTGATTTCTCAAGAAAAAAAAACTGAAGAAAAATCCCTAAATATATTTTGTATATACATATTATGTTAGTAATGAAAGTAGACGTTTAATTTATTTATATTTTAAAATATCAGTTATATTATATATACTAAAATGTGTAATTTAACAAATTAATATAAAACACAATTGTGTTTAGTTATATTTTTATAAGTCGCCGTCCTGTCCATTTCAATAAACTTCTTTGAGTTTATATGAAAATATTATAAAATGTACTTTTAGTTTTTTCCAAAGTTTCCAAATCTATTAGGGTTTTTTTTCTTTCGAATAAGATAGCTTTTCGAACTATAAATAACAATTTTAAAGAATTCAAAATGGTCAGCCGTTCGCAAGTGATGCGGTTCCCACCAAAAACATTTCATTTTTTATTTAATTGGATGATTTTCATATTATTTACTAAACCGCTGAATTTTTTTTAAAAAATATATAAATTATTGTATAGTTACCCGATACTGTGAAATGTATGCATGACGTAACGGTCATATCATTTCAGTCCAGTCCAGTGAATGAACGCAAATTTGTTCGATCTTTCCGCACTGAAATTGAGTTTCATACAAATAAGAAGTGTGTTATATTTCTAGTATATATATTATATTTTATTGCACATATATAAAATACAGAAATTAATATACAATAAAATTTGTTAGCATAGTATATATATGTGATGAATTCAAATCAGAAAAATAAATAAAGTTTTAAAGAGCAAATTCTTTCATCTCGTCGTAAAAAAATAAATAAGACTTCGAATAATACTTAATAACTTGCTACGAGTATATGAAATCCAATGTCATTAAGGGACAAAATTGAGGTTAAACCATTCATTTGGCAATAATGTAATAGGGATCAAGTAAATAAATTCGTATGAGAAATGATAATAAAAGAACTAACATAATATGCAATATAATTAGGCACTCATACTCCGATGGTACGACAATTCGACGCCACCAATTAGAGAACAGTTAGCTCGGGCAAATTTCACTAACTACCCAATTCTAAGCTCTTTCTCATAGTTATGAGTAAGAAGTTTCTCGACTTGGGTCTCGAACCCAGGACTTCTGCCACAAATGCTAGCCCATAGAAACAATTAATTAAAACACATTAAATAATTGAGATTCTTCTGAATAATTCTTCTAATGTCTTCTTTATAATTCTCCAATAATAATTCTTCTTTATTCCATTCTTCTTCCCATAGAACCCCCTCTCCCCCCCACATCAGTATCCGCAGACGCGACCCGGAGTCGTTCCGTACGTATCTCCTGGCGAGACGCGACTCGTTCCCTCGCGCAGTACTACAGCGTGCAAGTGACGGACGGACAGAGGCTGACGTGGAATTCTGCCAGAACTATTAATGTCACCAGGTGTGTTTTAAACTGTCATATATCCAAATTTAATAATATATATCATCCTTTTTCTTCATCGATCAAAACAATATTAGATACACAATCTCATGCGAAAGTTCTCTTAAAACTGTCACCAATTGTGTTTAGATAATTATTCTAGTTGAAATAAATATACAACAATGTAAATTGAATTTTAAATGCAATGCTTAAAGTTGTTTTCACAAAAAAAAACGCGCTCAAATGTTCAAATGAGCGATATTCGATGAGATATTCGGTGAGGATATTTTATGTCACTTTTGTATTATGTATTTAGTGCTTTTTTGATCGATGTTTTTCCTACTCATTATTTCCTTAACAAGTTTATCACTAAATACTAAATAGTACTAAATACTCTATATATATACATAGACTACTATATCTTTTGTATTAAACTAAGATTGTTCTGTATAATAATATATGTATGTTTGTTTTGTATGTGATATTGTTAACTGTTTATGTGTTTTATTGTTCCATAAATTATTACTAGTGATCACTCCGTGGTTGAAAATTAACCATAATTCATTAAGTTTGATTTAATTGAAGTACTTATATATAAATAAATTTTGGCTTTCTGCGGTCCTCCTCTATATAAACTTTAACTATACCAAAGCTAATCCTCCCCCGTACATGCAATATGCTTAAAAAGGGGTTCAAAGTTTTCTCCTCACGTATTAATATATAGATTACTAGCAGAACCCGCGGCTTCGCTCGCGCTAAAACTACACAAAAATCTCTAAGAAAGTAGTTTCATACAAACTTTCTTCCCGTATTATACTCTCCTTTATAGGATAAATTTCGAAAATCTCAAAAAATCTTCAAAAAAGAAAATCTCTTCTCCGACTATCTCCACACAAAAAATCATGCCAATCTGTCACTCCGTTTCGACGTGAAAGATGGATCAACAAACAAACAAACACACTTTCACATTTATAATATTAGTATAGATTATTATTATTATCATAAAAGGTCAGACGAAATCCGTCACACCGTCGACATAGAGGAGCTGCAGCCGGCGACGAGCTACGCGGCGCGCGTCGCCGGCGGGAACCAGGCAGACCTCAGTGCTTACTCCACGCCTATCAGATTTAGTACTACTGAAGAAGGTTAGATTGTTTTAATTACTAACACCTGTTCCCAATAATCTATTTAAGTTTATTTACTAGAGATAGTATACAAATGTCATTATTGATAGTAAAGAAGACAACAGCCATTATTCAGCCCTTTTTAACGTCCTACTGCTGGGCACGGCCTCCCTTCAGTACGAGGGGAATCAGGCCTTAGTCCACCATGCTGGACAAGTGCGGGTTGGCGGACTTCATATGTCCTTTGAAAACTCGCTAGGTTCTCTCAGACATGCAGGTTTCCTCACGATGTTTTCCTTCCCCGTAAGATAAGTGGTAATCATGTTAGAAATGATTCGCGCATGAAAATATCAGAGGTGCGAGACCCGGGATTTGAACCCGCTTCACTCGGTTTCCCAAGCGAGCGCGAGGAACACAACAGATAGGTTATTGGGAACCGCTTGAAATGCATAACAGTTGATATGTTGCTCTATTTATACACTAATTATATATGAGTAACGAATGACTTACTTAATATTTGTTTTTTTTTTAATATTAATTAATTGTTTTGTAATCATAATTAATCAGCAATTTTTGTAATAAAACTGTCTTTTCGGATTTTTTCGCGAATTTATTTTGATTTCCGAATCCCGCATTCGAAACGTCGGGAACGAAAAATCGAAATAAATCCGCGAAATAATCCGAAAAGATAGTTTGATTAAAAATGTCAAATATTCGCGTAAATCTAAGAAAGTATTAATTAGCTACTTACTCTTGCTTCGCTCGGATGTGTCCTTAGCCTAAAAGTTAATATAATATGTTACTTCAGGCTCTAGTCTATTTGCCTACCACTTTACCGTTTCAGCATAAAGGTATAAAATACACACATACACCCATAATAATCTTTACTTATACACACAATACCATGCTCGTAACTTCGCTTGGGAAAGATATACATACGTCGATACTTTTGTATTTATGTCAATTATATGATATTTTTCATAAAGGTTTTACAGTCAATGTTTTTTATTATCTATATGTAATTCAATTAATGGATATTATTATAGTTTTTATTATATTATAACGTGTAACAGTTAAAATTAAGTCAGTCAGACAGCGAGGTCGGCAAAATTTTGTATACAGACTCTTCATAATACTTTTTAATTATTAGAATGGAGTAAATGAATATTTTTTTTATATTTTATTTGTAATTTACATCTATATTAGCTAAGTTTTCTTTACAGCTTTTAATGTTCTATTCTTTTGACAGTTTTCTAATTAACATAATGTTTTTATGATAAACAAAATTTTCCCAAATTTTTGTAGACTCAATGATTTTCAATGAAAGCTTTTGCTTTAACTTTTGACATTGATAGAATAGCACAAAGTACCTATATTTTTTGTTATTTTTCTTCGGATTGAATTAAAGAGCAAAGGTTAACAGGCTTTTTACGTAGAAGTCATATAAAATAGTCATATATCAACGTCAAATAAGTGTTGTTACATTTCAGTGATATTATATGCCTGACTTACTTATTTCTTTTTAGTAATAAATCCAAAGTATTGGAAGGTATCTTTTGTATTAAAAATATTGACGATACGTTTGGCTCAGTTTGTAGTGACCCTGCTTGCTGTGCCAGCGGTCGGGGGTTGGAGTCCCGCTGGAGGCATTCATTTGTGTGATGAGCACGAATATTTACACTCCAGTCATTGTTGTTTATATTTATAATATATTGTGTGTATTTAAAGTTATATATGTGTAGTGTACAAACTATCGGTATAGCAAAAACCTCGTAGCTTACCATGGAATTAGATGGTGCTGTGTGTTAATGTCCCAACATATTTTTGTCCCAATATATATTTTAAAATATAATATACATACATACATCACCAGCTTTTATTTCATTACTATATTCTATGCACTAATTTTCGACCAAATCCATTCAGCCGTTTCAACGTGCAAGAGTACCAAACATACACACACACACGCAAACACACATACAATATATATATATCTATTTGAATGTCTAGCCCCATCTTCTCCGCCATTGGGAGTGCAGTTAGAACAAACCGAATCACCAGGAGAATTAAAAGCGCGATGGCTGCCACCACCGAGTGACTCTCATAATGGAGTCATACTTGGTTACAGACTAAAAGCAGTCCCACAGATCAGTGGAGTTATAGGTAATATTTGTTTTTTTTTCTTATTAATTGATTGCTTGCATTTCACCGTCCATCTATCTGTCTGTTTGTCAAAGCCCTAGTCTCAGAAACGCGTAGAGGTATCCTGATCTTTGATGGGGCTTCCATTAAGATTAATGCGAGCAACTATTATATAGAATTTTAACCTGTGTTTTGATTAGCTTCACCTATAACTTAATAATAAATCAAACTTACGTAATCAAACAGAGTCGATTTTGTTAAATACTTCTAAATGTTGTATTTATTTGAAAGAGGATAGAACTTTTAAGCACTGCCTGTTTATTATAATTTTTTCTAAACTTCGGTGCACAAAACTAAATATATGAATAAAAAACATTCCAAAAGTATCAGCAATATAATATCCTAAAGAGTCACGTTTCCGAGATATTTGGAAATAAAGTTCAATTTAAGCTTATTGGTTCGAGTTTATGAAAACGATGAAAATCGTAGTGAAAGAATGATCGACCTTTTGCGTTTAATTTATTTATTATACCTACTAACGGACTCAGTAGGCAGGCGTTATGGTACCACAGACCTCCAATTCTCAGAAAATAAAAAAAATCTTTTACTATCTATTTCTCTACAACATCGCCACCTATTGGTATAAACTATAGCTAAGAATAGTCTAAGTGACCCTATACAAACACAGAATTTTCATCAAAATCGGTCAAATTACGAAAGATTACGAATACACATACACCAGAATTTTATTTCTAAAAATGATAATATAGATAAAGAGTTATTAAACTCAAGAATAAAAGGGAAGTTAAAACAAAGATTCATCGAGGGGCGAGCACAAATGAACTTATATTACCACTCGAGATCAACTCATTGAAAGTAGAGAAGGGTTGGTAATCATTTTATTTTACCCAGACCGGCCCTATTTATGAACGATATTTTACTTCTAATTGATATTTACGTTGTTTTACTTATCTTTCTTCGCTGAATACCAATAGCTATTGAAAATTTTATATTATTTACCAAATAGCTTTAGTCCGTGGCTTCAGTCGTGTTTTATTTATAAAAAACCCCTCCTATGGGTTGTAGACTTATAGGTATAATCGATACATTAACCCAGCGACTCAACATATAGTGACCCAATATATAGCGACTCATCCTTGCTTCGCTCGAGCTCGTTCCTCGGTACGTTTTAACGGTTACTAGGAATAGATAGACTATACATACCACATAGGTATGGTTAAGTTTCATAACCCTTACTTGAGAAATGATTAATTCCCCATACAAACTTTCATCCCACTTTTCACCTCCTTAAGGGATGATTTCCGGGATAAAAAATATCCTTTGTCCTCCCCAAACTCAATCTCTGATCTCAAACTATCTTCATAGCAAATTTCATCTAAATTGATTCAGTAGTTCCAGCGATTACTTCCTACAAAGAAACTTACTAACTTTACATTTTTATAATATTAAGTGTTAGTAGACGAATGGACAATAAAATGAAAAGTTATGTTTTTATATCTGATTGCTACTATAAAAGACTAGCGCATTTATGCAATACAAAAAAAAACTATCTTGAAGAGCTTTTAATATTTTTTTATTGAGTACGTAACACAGATATATTGCCTTTGTCGATCACTATTTTTTGAACACAATAAATATAAATATACAAACATTATTAAAAAAAAAACAGTAAAATCTTTTTTGTTTAGAAACCCAAGAAACAAATGACAAAATCATCAAAACATCATCACTTTATTCAAAGCAAGAAACCGTCATCACCGGTCTTTTGAAAGGAGTTCGGTGAGTATACTATAAAGAGTTTAATTAAAGTTATGATTTAAAAGTTAAAATTTTATTTTTTTGAACAAAGACACTCCTTTTTTAAATATATTAATATGTAGATGTTGCTAAAGTATTTAGATGTTAAGTGGTGCTTAAATCTAATAGGAATTGTGTTTTCTACTAACATTTTTAAACAATTTCAAAGTTCATTTGAATAAACTTGATATCAACATCGATTTAATCTGGGTGCCAAAAGGTGTATAGTGGAAGTCGTCATAGATTTTACGACACGTTTTGCTCAGTTTCTAGCGACCCACCCTACTTGCTCTGCCAGCCGTCTCGGGTTCGAGTCCCGCTGGGGGCATTCATTTGTGTGATGAGCACGAATGTTTTATACTCCAGTCGTGGGTGTCTATATTTATAATATGTATGTATTTAAAGTTATATATGTGTAGTGTATCAACTATCTAGTATCCATAATACAAGCCTCGTAGCTTACCATGGACCTAGATGGTGTTGTGTGTTAATGTTCCAACATATTTATTTATTATTTATCAATTGCTACTAATAAATCTTTTAAGTACTAGTATAGTATTATATGATCTGTGCTTTAAAGTTTAGGCTCATTAGATACATAATGTCGTATTCCATACATATCACTCGGATAAAATTTAATATTTTATAGGCGTTTTGTTTAAATTAATTAAAAACTTTTTACTTATTACCTAAAAATACATTGTCTAAAAGTAGTTTATACTATTCCAGATCATATTCCATCTGTTAGCTAAGTTTCATCCAAATCTGTTTAGCCGAAAAAGTAACATACAAACACACATACGTATCTTTACATGTTTCATGGTAATCCAATTCATTCAAAAATATATTTTATTCCAATTTATTAGGTATTCAGTGTCCATCGCGGCTTTCAATAGCGCTGGGAATGGACCGTTCTCGATTCCACTCTTTCAAGACACTAGAGAAGGAGGTATGTTTATTTCATATCAATTTATTCTCAATTCACTCGAAAATGCAACCTATTTGTTATTTAAATCCTTTGAAACGAACAAATACATTCATTATTTCAATTTCTAGGTAAAAATGGAAATATGGTCCATTTTAAAAAGCTCTTAAGTGCTTTCCGCTCTACTATTTATGTACTTATTTTTAAAGCTCATTGTTTTTTTTTAATATTACTCCTGAGAATGTTGAAATATTGTTTTTTTTATATTCACATTTTAATGAAGGCAGTGGTAGCCCAGTGGTAACGAGCTCTCTCAGGAAACTGAGTAAGCGGGTTCAAGTCCCGGGTCTCGCACCTCTGATATTTTCATGTGCGAACCATTTTCAATATGATTGCCACTTGTCACGGAAACATCGAGAGGAAACCTGCATTTCAATCTATACATATAATAAAATTGTAATTAAGCCGAATCTGTCCATTAAATATTTTTTGGAAAATCTTATTGAAATTGACTTTATAATCGATACTGAAGCCGAATCTATAGTTTTTAGAATATTTGTCTGTCTGTCTGTTACCGATCACAGAAAAACCACCCGAGGGATTTTGATAAAATTTGGTATGGTGATAGCTGGTTATCCGGCTCAACATAAAGGATTCTTTTTACCGCGGGAATATATTTCATTTCTGAGAAAAAACGCTAAAACTGCAATGTAAGAAACTAATATGTAAAACCTAAGAATTTGGTTTTTGGTCATCTGAACGCGGGCGAAGCCGCGGGCAATGCTAGTGCATAGATATAATTAATAACAAATAACATAATTTTCATTTACGCGAAGACATTTTCAGCTACAAATGCGTATTCAAATGTTTATTTTCCTATTGAAACTTTTAACGTTTTTCTAAATTAGGACGCTTTAACTAACTTCGGTCCTCATCATTTTTATTATTGTTCTTAAAATTGCTTTGCCTTTTTAATTTGAATTTCTCACAGTACTTTACCTCACGAGTGCAATTAACGACTTAAAGTTATATTGTTAAGTTTATTTTATTACGTTTTTTGTTTCAACGTTACGTTAAAAAAGTTTTTAACGAATTTTTTTTTATAGATTTTGTTTGAAGAGTCAAAGTTTCACTTGAATTTAATAATTTAATGTTTGTAAATATATTGTTTGTAGCATTTTAAAGTTTTATTATATAACTAGCGATTCACCCTCGCTCCGCTCGGGTTCGTCCCTAATTACGTTTTACCGTTTACTAGATTTCTCAGAGATGAGATATTTTTCTGCAGTAAAAAGTATCTTATAGGTATGTTAACCCAGATAACCCAGCTATCATCATACCAAATTTCATCTAAATCTGTCCAGTGGTTTTCTTGTGATGCGTTCCCAGACAGATAGACAAACAGACCAAAATTCTAAAAACTGCAGATTCGACCTCTGTACTGACCTAATTTTCTAAAAAAATATTTAATGTACAGATTAGACTCAAAATTTTACTATATGTATATATGATATATAAAATGGAACTCACATTGGGCCCATGCTCGCAGTGGGACGTTAAAAACGGGTTGAATATATGAAATTCCATCTCATTTTGTAATCAAGTATTCAACTAGGGTTAAATTAAATATAATTTATCGTTTTAATATTTTAGACGCTTCCAAAATACTGATTATATATTTATTATTATTAGTAATAATTTATTTCACGATATATTTGTTGGTGAAAAAAAATTACCTTAATGATTATATGTTAGTAGTTATTTTATTTTTTAATATTGAGTTTATTACAATATTTCAATTTAAACAAAAAAATAATAAATAGTTTAATTAAAAAAATCTTATAACGTGAGATAAATCAAATCAAAATATTCTTTATTCAAATAGACTTTTACAAGCACTTTTGAATCGTCACTTTTACATTATATTATGTAGAAGATTTATAAAGAAGATATTTTAATTTAATAATGTTAACCGAAACAAATAATTTAATATATGTATTCAGCCCTTTTTAACGTCTCACTGCTGGGGGTGGGCCTCCCTTCAATACGAGGGGGATCAGGCCATAGTCCAACACGCTGGCCAAGTGCGGGCGGAATGAGCATGTCTTTCGAAAACTTGCTAGATTCTATCAGACATGCAGGTTTCCTCACGATGTTTTTCTTCATCGTTAAGACTAGTGGTGATCATGTTAGAAATGATTCGCACATGAAAATATCAGAGGTGCGAGACCCGGGATTTGAACCCGCTTTACTCGGCTTCCCAAGCGACCGCGTTACCACTGGGTTACCACTGCCTTATTAATAACTTAAGTATATTACCAATATCTATAAACAAATAGCTCCAGAGGAAGGCCCGACGTCAGTAGAGTGCGGCGGCGTGACGTCCACCGCGCTGCGCGTCAGCTGGCAGCCGATACCGCCGCACAAGCAGGCCGGGGCTCTTATTGGGTACTCGGTACTGTATGCTGGACAAGGTTTGTATTCATATTATGTTTTAGAGCGTTTATATAAGCAAATTATATTGTTATTATATGTATAGTACCTGGGCGACAGTTACGCTGGGAGTTTTTGGCCAAAAATATATTTTTTTAAAACTAAAAACTTGAATAAATACAAAAAAATACAAAAAAAACTTTGTATCCGACCGGGCTTTGTACCCGGACACCTGTGATTGTTAATCTTGCGCTTGACCACGATGCTCATCCCCGAGCGTGCATATTTTGCATGCAAAAGAAAACCACATGAAAACTCGAAAACACGCGTTTTCTCAGACATAAGACTAATCTAGATCGATTTTTCGATCCCGAAAACCCTCACATATCAAATTTCAGCGAAATCGTTACAGCCGTTTCCGAGGTCACCGGTATATATAAATATACAAGAATTGCTCGTTTAAATATATTAGATATTAATGCGAGTATTTGATATTTTAAACTAGAGCTTTTTGGTTTCCCAAACCAAATAAAACAAGCAAACGCGGATTTATTTTGGTTTATGGTTGGAAACCAAAAACCGAAATGAATCAATGAAAAAATCCAAAAAGATAGTTCTAATTAAAATGCTTAAATAATAACAAAACATCATATCACTGTATCAAAAAAAAATCACCTTAAACAATAAAATCTAGCAGCCCCCGTATTGAACTTTTTTATGTCACCTATCTAAGAACACTTGGACTAATGAGACGAATCTAACGATAACTTAATTAAAAAAAAAACAATTGAGTGGTTTGGAAGATATGAGGGAATAAAGAATATTACAAACAAACAAACATACAAAGATAGGCGCGAAAAACACATAACCCTTTTGTTGCAGTCGGGTAAATATGTCCAGTGCGAACGATTCAATGCAAGCCTGAACTTACTGTTGACTCATTATTAAGTATATTTTTATAGCATTTTTCAACTAAAGCAAAAGTAAAGGTCGAATAAAAATTCTGCGAAAACTAATATAAATAAGTTTATCTTGATGTTCTTTTAAAAACTTCGCGTAACTTTCTCCTCGTCAAAATTTTAAGTTTCCTAACAACAACTTTTATGTTCTGTAACTTTCACGTAATAGATATTGTGTTAAGATATTCATATTTTATATAAAATATTTTAAAATATAATGCATTAATTTGAATTTACTTTCTGCTGGTCATTATAATTTTATATGTAATACGAGTATGAGTATATCCTCGGAATGTAATACGAGTATATCCTCGAACTAAGAATATAGATAGTGTCATAGAACTAAACATGAAACTATTAAAAACTTAAAAAAAAGCCGATTTCCAGGCACTAAAATGTAAAAAAACTAAACGGGGGTTTTCATTTAGAATAGATACCGAATCAGATATTTTTGAACGTCAGTGCCAGCCGATGCAAAGCAAATCTAATATATTTCGATACGTAAAATTCACATTTACCTATTAGATATTCATATCTTAAAATATTTTCGGCTTAAAATTAAAAAAAAAATTGTCAAAAAAATAAAATTTTTGGGGGTGGACCACCCTTATCACTTAGGGGTATAAAAAATAATTTACGTCCTATTCTCAGACCTACATACCTACTACCTACGTAATATACACACAAAATTTCATAAGAATCGGTCAAGCCGTTTCGGAGGAGTTTTGTTACAAACACTATGACACGAGAATTTTATATATTAGAAGATTAATACCATGAAAATATTTTCACGCTATCTACAAGGAAAACTACTGAAAAGGAGATATGTTTATCAATTAAATCAATTCTAGGTCGCCAATGGCAAAACGCAACGTCTCTCGTAACAGAACTACGATTGCAAGGACTTATCAAATACACTAACTACACAGTTAAAGTGGCGGGTTTCTCTAACTACGGGACTGGACCGTATTCCTTCCCCATTGTTTGTTCCACTCTTCAAGACGGTAAGTATTGTTTGAATGTTTACGGCTTTCTAAGCTTTATTGTTCATTTTCAGTTTAACGTAACGCTTATTGTTTAGGACTTTTGGAGTTGTTTTGTTTTAGTTAATGTATAAATTGTATGAAGTGATAAGTTTGTATTGATTTTTATGTAGAAAGTTTTGATTTTTGTTTATATACATATGACTCTGGAATATTTAAATAAAATATTTATTATTGATAAGTAAACTGGCTTAATTATTAATAGTATTAGTAGTAGTATTTACTATTAATTATGATAAATAATCATAATATTATTATTAACAGGCAAGAATAATTAGAATTTTTATCTTTAAGACTTGCCAAATGTTATAGGGTTTAGGCGAAAATGTTTAGATTTTCACTAATGTGTCATACAGCTTATTTATTTCCTGGCAAAAATAACTTCTATAGTACTAATCAATAAGCCTACTTCTTAAAAGTTACTAATCTCTTAGTATTATTTCTGTAAATTTAAACGTAGTCACGAGCTGTGATTTATTATCGATAGAATAAAAATGAAACTCGATTCCCAATATGTGCAGATATCAAATAACTTACACAAAAAAATACAATGATTAGTTACCTTCTCCATTTTGAAGTCGGTCAAAAAGAAGAATTTTTACCCAAAATATAATAATATGTACTAATAATACACACATATCATATGCTTAGATATATAATATTTATATATAACATATAATTATGTATTTAAATAATTATAAAACCATTAAATATATAAATATCTATATAAAATTGTAGTACCAGATGCGCCGGCAGAAATTAAATTGCTTTCGCAATCATCAACCGCGTTGCTAGTGAGTTGGAAGAGGCCGAAACAGCGTAATGGAAAGCTACTCCATTACACGGTGTACTGCAAACCTACTGCCAGGTTAGTTGCAACTTTATTTTGTTATATCAATCCTACTAATCTTACTAATAATAAAGTTGTAGATTTATGTTTTTTATTCTTTCAAGCAGAAATTACTGAGCGAATTTTGATGGAGATTTACCTTTACGTCCTATTATTTATAAGGATATTACGCCGTGCTTTATGGGATTAAAATATCTTCTTAGCAATTCAATGCTAATTTTAACTTTTATTATTAATACACTTTTGTAAGTTTCATTTGTTACTAACAAGCTATGTAGTCAAATCTTAAAAATTAAAAGTCGATTTTAAACTACTCACTTCTAAAAGTTGTAAAACTGTACCTATGTATATACGAAATTATTACATTGTTATCAAAATAACAATAATTATAATTGCATTAATTTAATACTTAATGAACTTAAGACTTCTTGGGAACTAGAAATTTTAACGATTATAACTTATAAGTCAAAAAGTAAACGAATTTAAATGTTTTCAAGCGTCATAAATATAAAATGGTGATAGTAGGTACTTTTATTCACATTTGTTAGGAATAAATATTTATTGGGCGAATTGTTTACTTATTTGACCAGGCAAATAAATAAATATAAATGAATCGTACGAGTAGACGTTTTAATCCACAACACATGTTGTTTTATTTCACGATTTATAGTTATTATTGTTTTAATTAGAATAAAACGCACTATTTCATTTTATTTTAATTTTATCTCAAAATTTTTATCACAATGGCTCTAATAAAAATTACAATTTGTTTTCTTCTTTTTCTCTTCTTGAAATTTTTACAATTTTTTAGAATATTAATAACATCATCCAAAATTAAAATACGATGTTTAATATTTAATTTTATAATTTAAAAAATATATATAAATATGTTTTAAAATTAAATTAACAAAAATTGTAAAGTTTTAAAATTTGTCTATTTCTTCCAAATAATTGTAAAATCTTGTGAGTAAATACTGTCTGTAACAACTATATATTATTAGCTATTGAGACGTTTAAACCTTTAGTCTCTTCCATATTCATGATTGCTGTAAAGCATTCGAAACGCGAGAACGATATCCCATCCTATCCCACGAGAACCGTACATTTTAACGGGATAAAAAGTATATCCAAATCCGTTCAGCCGTTCTGACGTGATTGAGTAACAAACATCCAAACATCTAAACTTTCACATTTATAACATTAGTAACACAAGTAAGATTTAAAATATACTTAAAAATTAAACATCATAATTCTTCCTCAGATGATAGTCAAGTCAATTCGAGTGCGTAACTACTTAGTAGTTAAGATGAGAAATTTAGGGCTCCTTCATTTATGTAAATTTTACTTAAGTACGTCTAATTCAGCCTGCCAAGTTTCTTCATTAACATTTTATTTAAAGACCTCTTAGCAAAGAGGGTCATCCGAATAATTTATTTTATGTACTGAAAAGAATTAGTTTTAAAACTTGTCAAATGTAACATGGCGTCAGTTATCATTAACGTTTGCTACGAAAAGCCGTGTGTTAATAGATATCTTTTAACGAAAATTTATTAGGAAATATATGTTGGGATATTAACGCACAGCTCCATCTAGTTCCATGGTAAGCTACGAGGCTTGTGTTATGGATACCAGATGGTTGCTACACTACTCGTATATAACTTTAAATACATACATATAATATAAACACCCACGACTGGAGTACAAATATGAGTGCTCATCACACAAATGAATGCCCCCAGCGGGATTCGAACCCGTGACAGCTGGCACAGCAAGTAGCTTCACAAGCTGAGTTAAACGTGTCGTCATATAGATTTATATAGATAGATTTACATATATTCGTATTTACGGAAATAATAAACTACATTTTAACTTACTATTTCTGTATATATTTACGCTTATAATGCGAAATATAAACGCGAAAACCTTTTTTGTTTGTACTTCATCTAGCGCAGCATTTAAGCCTAATAGATCGATATAATAATTAATATACATATATAAATAAAACAAGTTTCTTTACTGGAAAGCGAAACATTGTAGTTCTTTTTATCTTGGTTTAAACAACAAAATATGATTATAATACGAAATTAGTTTATCGCTAAGCAAAAATATCCTTCTTCATAATTAACTAAAAATATTAATATTAATATACTGTAAATTTCGGACTATATCAAATCCTCACAAAAAGGTCTAATATTACTCGCTTCATAGAACTTTGATCTGGCGATCACATTACTTCCACACGTGTACGCACGTGTTCAAATTTCAACCTTAAACGTGCATGAAAATGGTATTTTCGATTATTGACAGACGTGTACCTAGTCTGTTGTTTATGGCTATTAAATAATATTGTATCAAAACAAGTTATTAACACTTTTTCACATGTAAATTAAATAAATAAATGTTTTGGACATTAACACATCGCACCATCTAGTTCCATGGTAAGCTAGGAGGCTTGTGTTATGGATACCAGATAGTTGATACACTCATGACTGGAGTAGAAACGTTCGTGCTAAGCACACAAATGAATGCCCCCAGAGGGACTCGAATCTGCGACCGCTGGCACAGGAAGTAGGGTTCCTACAAAGTGAGCGAAAAGTGTCGTCAAACAGTCAATAACTATTTTATTATGAAAAAGCTGAAGACACAGTTTTTTCTTTGTAAAAACTCTATATACCAATCAAATAAATACTGATAGCGCCAATCAAATTAATTTTTTTTTTGTTTTACATGAAGTATAATATCTTGACGAAGATCTCCATACAAAAATCTAATTTTTTTCTTTTGTTTTCTTCTTTCGTTTTCTTTTTTATGTATGTTTGACATACATTTGTTTTAAAATGTCTATAATAAATATTTACTTACAAATCTTTTTTGATTAAAACGAAATATATCATAATTTATCATTCCCCATAGCAACGACGGTCCACAAATACATCGTGTGGACGTCGAATCAGACACGGAACCGTACGAACAAACACAAAGCCTTGAGCTGAAGGGTTTGTATGAGGGTCGTCAGTACGACGTGTGGGTGACCGCGAGCACTGCAGTGGGGGAGGGACCGGAGAGTCGGAGAGTTACTAACACGCCCTCTCAAAGAGGTAAATATTAATGAGAACGGAAAAATACATACCTACTCGTATATAATACTTCCTTAAGGCCGGTATAAGAAACTCGTTTGTACTTTACCATATTTATTTCACTTACATATCACTTAACACTTATTCATCACAATCACTATTAATATTATAAGAATTTACATTATGACACCTTAAACTTTCATCTACTTCAACTCATTCCAGAAAGTACACTGCCCTTCATGTTACAAAATACCTCGTTTATACCTTATAAGTTTTCAAAATCTACATATTTTCAATTAAAGAGTATTAAATGTTTTGACTTTATTTTGAAAATTATAATTCATACTAAATACAGTTTTTGGTGTTGCCATCTCTACAAGGTAGACAGGAAATGATTATTTCATTTAAAATTATAATCATGACTAAATTTATTCTTTGTTCATACTAGTAAGAATTGATAGTATAGCTAACACTGACAAGCCAGTTCCCCCGCAGTGGTGGCGGGCGTGTGGTCGCTGGGCGGCGCGGTGGCGGTGGCGGTGCGGCGCGCGCTGCCGCTGGCGTGCCGCAGCGTGGGCGCGCCGCCGCCGCGCACCGTGTGGTACCACAACCACAACATCATCACCCACCACCCGAGGTTCACGCGGAACAAAGATGACAGCTTGCTCATTAAAAGTAAGTTGCTTTCTTTTGTTTCGGTTATTTCAGACGTATTTACGTTAAAATGTTGGTTTTTTAATGATTATTATAATTTGTAATATGGATTTGTAATTTATTAGATGTGTGTGTGTGTGTATGTGTAAAAATGTATAGAAAAGTGAGTGCCTTTTTCTTCACGCTTTAACGTCGACGTGATAATCAGAACGAAGATAGTATAAATATACATATATATATATATCTATATATATATATATATAATACTTCATACATTTTCATCGTCACTAATAATGCGTAACAAAAGTTCTAATTTTAATCTTCGATGTAGAATCTACGCTTTAATCTTTATTAAAGAGCACTTATCCTTCAATAAGTAAAAGAACCTTGAGTGAGTAGGTACTTGACGTGGAATGAGGTAGGAATCATTTCTTTGAAACCTACTTATCAAATGAAAGAAGTTACAATAAAATCTCGTAATATTATGCCATCTACAAATTAGCTTTTCAACGTGGCTACGCTCGTGTTTTACGGTAATAAAAATGAGCTCTATCATTTTCATATACAGGCAACGATAAGGCTAGCGCAGGGCCACTATAGCGTCTTTTAGTCGGACTTGATTCGCAAATATTAAGTTATAAACTAAAAACGTTTTAAATCAAAATAAAATATAGTCTATATCCGTCAGAGCTAGTGTAGCTTTCTGTAAGTGAAAGAATTTTTGAAATCGGTTCAGTAGTTCCAGAGATTACGACTTACATACAAACAAAGTTTACCTCTTTATTATATTAGTATAGATTTTATTCGCGAGTTAAAGTAAAGTTTTATCCGTAAGTTAAAGTGGTTTCGGCAATATGTGACAAATGTCAACCAAGAAATTTTATAAAATAGCTATTTAGGCATTAAATATCATTATACGTGAGCACTATATTGGGTTGCATTTTTCAAATGTCTGCCAGATTTTATTTGTTTGTATAGTAATTATAGTAACTGAACCCTTTTAAAAATCCCAATGCTACACTCTCTTTTAAATGGGAAAGAGATATGATGGGATGGGCAATAGGCGGATTCCATATATTCTCTCAATAAGAAATTTTAAGTTTTCTTAGATATATACATATACTATAGAGACGTAAGCTTTCTCGCAAATTTTATATAATATATAATAATATAAAATAAATTTAGACGTGACAATCTCAGAAATTATGATTCTAAAGCGACCTTGCTGCCAATATGGACCATCCATTATATCATTCACCGTATTATTATTTTAGTATGTCAATATATTTTTATTTTTAAATTAGTGTTATACCTATGTTATATGTAATTTTTATTTATTATTATATTATGTATTTTTTCTTTAGGCATAGATCAATCTTTGAGCGGGAATTACACGTGCTTGGCGAAAAATTTGTACGGATCCGACTCAGTGGTGTATTCTGTAAAAGTTTTACCATTACCGGACCCTCCGAGCTTACGAGCGACGCCTTACAAAGATTCTATCATAGTGGAATGGGATGAAATCAAAACAGCTAACGATTCAATGTCTTATGGAATTAGTAAGTAATATATAGTAGATATTTATTTGCTTTTGTTAACTATAATCTTTACATATAATAAAATTGTAACTAAGTCGAATCAGTACACTAAATATTTTTGGAAAATCATATTGAAATAAACATTGTGATCGATACAGAGGCCGAATCTATAGATTTTAGAATTTTTGTCTGTCTGTCTGTGACCGCATCACAGAAAAAACCACTGGAGGGATTTTGATGAGTATGATGGTAGCTGGTTATCCGGGTCATTATATAGGATACTTTTTACTGCGGGAAATATCTCATCTGTGACAAATCTATACTAAACATTAAAAAGTTAGTAGGGACGAAAAAGATTTTCAAATAAATATTTATTGTACAGATTCGACTCAGTTAGAATTTTATTAAAATATGTATTTATTTTAGATTACGAATTAGTCAAATATATTGAAACTAGCGGACCCGACAGACGTTGTCCTGTCTACACGTCTTTAATTTGAAAATTTCAAACTTTTTTTAATAATTTTTTTGATGAAAATTATTATTCAAATTGTGAATCTAAACCATTCTCAGATCCCCTTGAACACACACAAAAAATTTCATCAAAATCGGTCCAGTCGTTTGAGAGAAGTTCAGTGACATACACACTCACAGAAGAATTATATATATAAAGATATAGATCCAAACTCGCAATATATGCAATATTTCCCCTTAAATTCGCAATCTTAGGAAAATCAATAGCTTAGATTTAAATCAACTTAGTTTAGTGCTCAGACCCATTGGACGGAATCCAAAGTTTAAGCCATCTACATACTAATGTTCTAACAGCTTGCGCTGTAACTTTGCATGATACAGTTTGTGAGACACTTGTGTGGCATCGAAAGTAATATCGATAATACTAAGGAAATATATATAATATGAATGTATTTCAGTCCTTTCAGAATTACTTTTGTCTATATTTTTTTTGCTTGTTTTCAATACTTCTAATCGCATATTCGTTTTTTACTTCACATATAATATTAAGGGTATGTTAAAAACATACCTACATATACTAATATTATAAAGTAGCAGAGTTTGTTTGTTTGTGTGTTTAATATGATTTAGAAGTCAAGATAATACCATGTATCTATATTGTACTAGTAACTCACCCGCGCTTCACTTCGATTCGTACCTAGGCAAAAACATATCTATCATCATCATTTTTTCGGGATAATTATAGCCTATAGCCTTCCTTAATAAACGAGCTACTCGTATCTAATGCAAAAATAATCAATTTAGATTAATAGCTCCTGAAATTAGCGCGTTCAAACAAACAAAGAAACGAACAAACTGCCTCTTTATAATATTAGTATACATGTGGTAACCATGGTAACACGGTAACTAGGTTACAACCTAACTTGGAGGGAGGAGGACGGTCCCTGGCAGGAGGCCTGGCCGACCAAAGAGACAAGGATTGGTGGGATACATCAACATTCGATATCGGGCCTGAAGTGCGGCACGAAGTACTCGGTGCGAGTGACGGCGACGGACCGCGTGGGCACCTCCGCGCCGGCGCAGGCCGATGTCATGACGTTGGGAGGAGGTTAGAAAGATCTATAATCTGTTTTTTAATCGATCGAAACATTACTACTACTAGGTACACAATCTGATGCAAAAGTTCTCTTAAAACTGTCACCAATTGTGTTTAGATAATTATTCTATAAAATAAATATATAACAATGTACATTTAACTTTAAATGCAATGCTTAAATTATTTTCACAAATAAAATATAAAAAATAAAAGCGCGCTCAAATGTTCATATGAGCACTCGTTCAGTGAGGACATTTTTATCGCTGATTGTATGTCTAGTACTTTTTTGATCGATTAGATGCTTAGATTAATGTGTACTTGACTGTTTTTTTATATAGTTCATAATTAAAAGTTCCAATTTGATGAAAGTATTAATATTTTCATTTTCATTAATCTAGTATTAGGTACTTGTATAATAATTATAATCAATATAAGATAAAACGGCTGAACGAAATTGGATGAAAATTAGTACACAGATTTACTATAATCTGTAGTAACACATAGGCTATTAAGCACCTAAGGCATAGTAAGTCGCTAGCCATAAACACAGTATATGTTGGGACATTAACACACAGCACCATCTAGTTCCATGGTAAGCTACGAGGCTTGTGTTATGGATACCGGATAGTTGATACACTACACAAAAACTTTAAATACATACATACATATTATAAATATGAATACCCATGAATGGAGTACAAACATTCGTGCTCCTTACACAAATGAATGCCCCCAGCGGGACTTGAATTCGCGACCGCTGGCACAACAAATAGGGTCACTACAAACTGAGCCAAACGTGTCGTAAATTGTGTATAATAATAAAACCATTTACAGCACCAATATCCCCATTAACCACAGACTGGTTATGGAGTAATGCTACACACATCTACATACAACTGAGCGGTTGGGACGACGGCGGGTGTGATATCACGAAATGGGACGTAGAGTACCGTTTGTTGGGGAGTACCTTCTGGCATCGCTCTGAGAATTTAGCGGTAAGTTTGTATGTATGATTTATTGTTTTTAGGGTTCCGTACCTCAAAAGGTAAAAAACGGAACTCTCTTGTCCGTCTGTCTGTGTGTCACCACTGATTTTCTCAGGAACTGGTGGACCTAGCAAGTTGAAATTTATGCCAGATATTGAGGTCTATAGAACCTATTAGGTGTATAAAAATCAAGGTCCTGAATCAACAAAGCAAAAAGTTATGGGCAAATTTAGATTTTCGCGAAAACTTGTAAGTCCAAAATTTACCTTAATTTTCAACTCTTTTTATTTTTTTTAATTTTCTCTTTACTTGTGCTGTATGACCTTGCTTTTAACCAAAATTGACAATTCTAGGTCCACCAAAAGTACCCCTTTTTACCCGGTTTTAGGTCGAAAACTTATATATGGTAGTTACCGTTGACTTAGAATCACGAAATTTAGCAAAAAGCAGCGTCTTACAGCACAAATAAAGGAAAAATTCCAAAATATTCGAAACAAGTAGAAAATATGTAGGAAACCCTCAGTGGGCGAGTCCGACTCGCATTTGCCTGTATTTTTTTTTAAGCGAAAAACCTAATACTTACATTAAGGTCTCGCAAGATTTAAAAGAAACATTTACGCATGCCCAGCATGACGAGCAAGGGAAGGCTAATCTATTATAACTTAAAAAGCACATTTTACTTATAATACGTTTATATTAGCTTCATTTATAGGTACCTAATACTTGTTACTCACATTATTATGAAATCAAATCTTGGAAGTCGATTTTAATTGTCTTTTTATTGTCGTAACGTAACTCTTTCCAGTAAAAGCTTTTTCAGTTAGTCAAAAGCTTATATTTTACAGCTTTTTAAAATTATACTATTTTTTACTTAGTGTTTAAAAGTAAAATATTACCTACGTTAATTTAATTCCATCATATGAATACGTATACGTAATAGGGTTTATAAATAATCTTATAATCCCTATTACGTATGTGTAGATAAGCTCTTAAATAATATGTATGTGTTATTTAATTATGTTTTCTATAGCAAACGCGCATAGCAATGGTGTACATTTATGATGGTCCTATTTTTGTACCATGCCGATATTTTATTCGATTAAAAAATTGGTTTTACTATAGTTCTCTGAATTGTTATCAGAAATACTCGTGCTTTCGCACGAGTATTTCTGAACACTACAAAAAGAGAATAAAATATTGTATATATTATTTTTTTAATTAAAATTCTGATTATATATATATATATATATATATATATATATATATATATATATATAATATTTATCTTTAAATACTTGCGGTGTGTGTTTGTAATTCTTCTTCTAAATTTTTATTTCGATGATTTATGATGTCACCTAAATGATTAATTCATATAGTTGGATTTAGTAGACTGTATGTTATCAAGGTCTAGAAAACTTCTATTCCCTGGTCCGTTCGTGGAGAATAAAAAAATAAGAACATAATGAATGTTTTAGAACTAACAAAGCAACCCTAACATGTAAAAAACTAAAAATATTCAAAAACCTTATAGATAATTAACACTACATAGTATAAAACAAAGTCGCTTCCCGCTATCTGTCTGTCCCTATGTATGCTTAATTTTTTAAAACTATGCAACAGATTTTGATGCTGTTTCTTTTAATAGATAGAGTGATTTAAGAGGAAGGTTTATATGTATAATGCATGCATATTATAGTACAGAAATGCTGAGAAATTCAAAGATTTGTATTTCATACCAACAGTTAAAACGTACCTAGGGATGAAACCCGAGCGAAGCGAGGGTGAATCGCTAGTAATAATTATAAAATCTGATATACAAATACGGGTAATAAAATCGTATCCACCAGACAATGGATATGAACCTGGGCTGGGGTTACATAGACGCGCACTACCGAGCGCCGCCGCTGCGCTCCGCGCCCGCGTCGTACGCCGTGGGCGCGCTGCTGCCCGGCAGCTGGTACCAAGTGCGCGTGACGGCCGCCAACGACGCCGGCACCGCCTCTACTGTATACACTTACGCTACCAAAACTATGGACGGCGGTAAGTGTTTTCATATAATCTTATACATTTATACAGATAAATATAATTGAAGTGTCTGTTTGTAATGTCAAAATAACAGCGTTTTACTAAATGCATAAATGATGTACGGTACTTATAAGAAGAACACATTTTTTTTTAATTTTTGTCTGTCTGTTTGTTCCGGATAATCTCTGATACGGCTGGACTTTTGACGGGACTTTCACTGGAAGATAGCCGATGTTATAGGGAGTAACATAAGCTACTTGTATTTTAGAAAAAGAATTAGGGTTTCGTTCAAAAAAATTAAAAGGTACTTAAGGACGAACCCGAGCGAAGCGAGGGTGTCTCTAGTAATAATAATAAATTGTTTAATACAGGTAAAATCTCTATATATACATATGGAATGTAGAAATAATGAAAATAAAAATTAAGAGTGAAAGTTGCGTGTTGTTTTTTTAAAGTGTTAATTTTAGGTTCAATCATTTTATTTTTCCTGATATCACGTAGCGTTAATAATTAAACGCGAAAGTTTGTGAGGATGTATTTATATTTGTTACTCTTTCACAAAAACTACTGAATGATTATTATGATTTTCACAGAAATGTAACTTATATATCAAAGTAACATATAGTATAATGTATATGGTAAATATAGTAATACATAATAGAACTACTCGCTCGAGGCCGCGGGTTAACACTAGTGAGGTATAATTATTAATATTAAATTTAAATAAAATTGCATAAAATATCCATTTATAATTTATGTCTTCTATGTAATTTCTATGTAATATATGTAATTTCTACTCGCGGTGGTGGATTTTTTTTTTCATTTCAAACGGGACTAACCTATATTCAATAAAATATAACTATAAAAATTGGTTCACAACAGTGTAAATATCGTGTATATAAACATACAGCCGAATCGAGTGTTTCTTTTAGGTCGCTTTTATAGTTTATTAAAACTTTTATTGTCCATGTACATTGTAGATATATAGTACTTAGTCAGATGTACGCGAATATTTGACATTTTAATAAAACTTCTTAAATAAAACTATCTTTTCGGATTATTTCGCGGATTTATTTTGATTTTTGGTTCCCGACGTTTCGAATGCTTTACAGTATCCATGGTCACGGGAGAGACATCGGAAAAGATAGTTTTTATTTAATAATGTCAAACATTCGCGTAAATCTAAGAAATTATTATAAAACTTCTTGTTTGGATTTTTTGCGATGTTATTTTGATGTTTTAATATAACTTTACTTTTAGCTAATATTCCGACAAAATATTCGCTATACTAGTAATATAAACAGGCAGATTTTGTTTGTTTGTTTGTTTGTTTGTTTGTTTGTTTGTTTGTTTGTTTGATTGAACGCACTAATCTCAGGAACTATTAATCCGATTTCAAAAATTCTTTTTGCATGATAGCCCGTTTATTGTGGAAGGCTATAGCCCATATATCATCATGCCCAAGGGAGTGGAGCAGTAATATAATATATAATCTACCTATTCCATATTAACCGTTTAAATGTACCTAAGGACCAACGCGAGCGAAGCAAGGGTGAGCCGTTAGTGTTGATATAAATATAATCGTTAAGCATGGATTTATTAAAATTTAAAACCATAAATACAATATTATTATGAAAAAAAGAGCTAACGAAGCCTTCTACGAGTAATATCAAATCACTTTAAAACTTCATAATGAAACTTTATCCCCCTTGAAACGTTAACAATATTTAACTCATGACAGTTAATCGATAACATCTTTAACATTCATTATAATACTAAAATCGTTTGAGCAAAACTTTTGTCATTACGTACAGGATTTGAGCCTGTCTAAGCCGAAAGTGACATTTAACTACTTTCATAATATCCCAAAGATAATTATATTATGTAGTTGCAATTAAATGGTAACATATTATGATAAACTCTTATCAATTTTAAAACTTTTTGTTTATATATAAGCTATTGCCTATGGCTTCGCTTGTGTTTTTAATTCTATTTAGTACATATAAGAACCGTAGTCTCTTTTAGTATTCGACTAAGAAGTATAGGAAACTTCAATATATTAAAATCAAAATAAAATGTCGATAAAATCCGAATAAATAGTTTTATTTAATATGTTATATATTCGTGTAAATCTAAGAATTAATAGATAAACTAACATACATTTCATATAGCTTTCTGCAAAAAAAACATTCCGTCTATCGCAATAAGATTTTTACATTATGCATGATTGATCTGCCAATGAGATTCTGATATAGAAGACTAGCGGTTTAAAATATAAAAAACTGCTTCAAACAATACTTAAAAATGAAATTTCAACTTAAATTTGATATTGTAAGAGGTTTTTTATATATAACTATTATATAACTAGCATTGCCCGCGGCTCCGCCCGCGTTCAGAAAACCAAAAACCAAATTCTTAGGTACATTGCCGCTTTTGTATTTTTTCTCAGAAATTAGATATTTTCCCGCGGTAAAAAGTATCCTTTATGTTGACCCGGATAACCAGCTATCACCATACCAAATATCAAAATCCCTGCAGTGGTTTTTCTGTGATGCGGTAACAGACAGACAGACATGAATTCAAAAAACTATAGAATCGGCCTCTGTATCGATGATAATGTTTATTTCAATAAGATTTTCCAAAAAATATTTATTGTATAGATTCGGCTTAGTTACAATTTCATTATATGTATAGAAGATAATTTTTCCAAGCAAATTATTAATTTTTTGCTTCATTTTCCAAAAGAATAACTTTGATACATAACATAGAAATAATAACAAAGTAACTACGGCGTACAAATTTTAATGCAGTAATCAAACTAGCTCGGAAGCTAAAAACTTAATAAACGCTCGAGAGCTTAATTAGTAATTTCTCTCAGGATTTCTAGTTACGGAAAATCTTGAATTCTCTGTGTAAGACAATTCGAGAACAACTGGAATCGTAATATCAATGCTGATTTTAACTCAACTGTTCATTTATTTGTTTATTAATTTTTAATTTATATACAGTTAGTATATAAATTAAAAATTAATAAACAATCCAACTTGACATTTTTAATATTATTATTTTTAATACTTTCATATATATATTTTTTTAAATATAATACTTTCTTAGATTTACGCGAATATTTGATATCTACATAAATACATATAATAAAATTCTAACTGAGCCGAATCAGTACATGAAATATTTTTTGGGAAATCTTATTGAAATAGACGTTATTAACGATACAGAGGCCGAATCTATAGTTTTTAGAATTTTTGTCTGTCTGTCTGTTACCGCATCACGGAAAAACCACTGGAGGGATTTTGATGCAACATATAGGATACTTTTTATTGCGGGAAAATATCTCATTTCTGAGAAATCTATTCTAAACGTTAAAACGTATGTAGGGACAAACCCGAGCGCAGCAATGGTGAGTTGCTAGTTTTAAATTAAACTCATCAACAACAACAACAATCAGTCTTTCACGTGACCATGATTGCTGTAAAGCGTTCGAAATGTCGGAACCAAAAATCAAAATAAATCAGCGAAAAAATTCTAAAATATAATTTTATGTAAAAATATTACTATTACTTATTTTTCTTTTACCTAATTAAATAAATAAATCGTATAGATATTACTGCCAGCGGCTTCTTTTGTGTAAGCGTTTTTTGTGTACTTTTGTTTAGCTTTATTCAGAAATGCGAAAAATAATGGGTTGATTCAAACTGCAACTATAGATATAAATATAGATCCAATCAACGATTGCTTCTATAAAAAGTTGCCATTAAATTGTATTGCTCGATAGAATTTAATAGGTCTCTATAGTTATTCGCGATAAAACAGACGCGTTCCTTTACATGTTGTTTTATTTTGAAAAGAAAAATACTGTATTTATCAGGTATTTTATATATTAGTCTTATTTTTAACTGTATTTGATGATCTAGTGGCTAAAATTAACGGCTATAGATCCAGAGGTCTTGAGTTCGATTCCCAAGTCAGGCGAAGTTCAGTTATAATTTTTTTCTGTCAAGAAATTTCAAACCTGGAGTAGGGAAGCTGGCAGTGTTTTACCCCCGTGCCTCGGAGAGCACGTGTCGCGTCGGTTCTGCGCCTTCACTCTCACCGGTCGTGTCTCGTGTCATCCCACCAAAGTATGAGAGTGACAGGAATAGAGAGTGCACTTGTGTCTACACGCATACATCAGCACTATAATATCTCCTATGTCCTTATATTTAAGTCTCTGTTAACTGATTATATTACAATTATAATGGTTAGAATTCTATCTAATTAGTATATATTGTTTTAGCATTTGTTTATTTTAATAACACGAAATTTCATAAAATAAATATGAGAATATACTGAATACGACTAAATTGCCTGTTATATTATGTATATTTAGCTATTTAGGTAACTATTATGAACCAATTTTAATGGTTCTTTTCAACTGGATAGGATATAATATTAAATGTAGAGTATACATATAAAAAATTATAACTAAGCCGAATCTGTACATTAAATATTTCTTGGAAAATCTTATCTATAGTTTTTAGAATTTTTGTCTGTCTGTCTGTTACTGCATCACAGAAAAAACCACTGGAGAGATTTTGATGAAATTTGGTATGGTGGTAGCTGGTTATCCGGAACAACATATAGGATACTTTTTACGGCGGGAAAATGTCTCATTTCTGAGAAACAATACAAAAACTGTAATGTAAGAATATACTAATATGTAAAACCTAAGAATTTGGTTTTGGTCATCTGAACGCGCGCGGAGGAGCGGGCAACGCTAGTCTTCATATAAATTGAAAGAAAATAATCCACTCCTATGTGTAAAGTAGGTACTATGTATGGAGATTTTTTCAATATAACATATTTAATTATTTTAAAAACATAATACTCTAATGTTTGTAACTTTTTAGAGGAAATTGGTCCGCCGTCAGATTTCTTCGACCTCAATATGCTAGTGATCATGTGCAGTTCGATCCTCCTTGTCATATGTCTGGTCGCTTTCACTTGCATACTATTGAGGAGACGGTAAGTTATTTTGTTAAATATTTCCTTGTAAACAATTTTTCACGTTATTTTGTTTATAATGAAAATATTTTAATGTTTTTGTTTTAGATACCTTTTACACAATAATTATAAAAAAAATCGGTATTAAAAATGCAATTTTTTTAATAATTATTTAATATTTTTAATATATGAGTTAATTGCCAGCGAAAAGTTTAGAAAAAAAATGGTATAGAAAAAATTGTGACAGTTTTTACTCTGTGTCTATTCTTTATAAAGCTTGTTTCGTGAAAAGTTATATGATTTCATATATAAAGTTTAAGCTATAACATATAATATATTGATCAAGATTTTTGTGAAAATAGAAAACAATAATATAAAAAGATCGGTTGCCATTTTTTTTATACTTATTCTTATATTTTTATCTAAATATCGTACTTAGGCATTATATTTAGGCAAAATGGCTTGCGTAATTTACATAATCCATCATTCCTCCTTACAAAGGACTTCGTAGAATTTCCCACAAGCAAAATTTGTATTATTTCATTTGCTATAGCAGTTATATTTCAGTATTGCTTTGTTTTATTTTGTAGTCATCTTTATAATATGTTTTAGGTGGTAAATTTTTATCGAAAATTATTCGCATTATATGTTCTATTTGAATATGGAATGGAAAGATATTGTTCATTTTTTTGTACAACACAAAAAAGTGTTAAGTAATAAACAAAAAAAACTATATTTTCGGTTTATTTTGCGGATTAATTTTGGTTCCCGTTGTTTCGAATGCTTTATAGCAAAATAAATCAAAATAAATCCGGAAAAATCCGAAAAGATAGTTTTTTTTAAATATATGCATTTATTTTAGGAGTCAAATATTTTGTGATCGAATGGAATCGTACCAAATGAAAAAAAAAACATAATTTGAAATATAAATAGCATATATTAATAAATAATTCTCTGGTATATTTATGTATATATAAATTTAGGCAAAACTACACATCACAATATCGCCATTCGATCACCGAGGAAGTAAAATCAAGGAACGAGAGTGTCGCCTCACATTCAGAACACAAAGAGCGTTACGCGCACACGCCGCGGATATACACGTCTCCCGTACATCCGAGGAAAACTAGCAAAAATGGTATTTATCGTCTGTATATCGGTATAAATATAATAAATGTGAAAGTTTGTGAGTATGTATGGATGTTTGTTACTCTTTTTCGCCAGAACGGCTAAACGGATCAGGATGAAGTTTGGCACGGAGATAGATTATAGTCTGAAATAGCACATAGGTTAGTTTTTATCCTGAAAAGATGTACAGTTCCCGTAGGATAGATTTGTTATTTAGGGATGAACCCGAAACGAAACCAGGGTGAGTCGCTAGTATTACAGACTACGTGAATATTTATGTATTTGTGTGCGTGTATGTTTGTTTCTCCTTCACGCTAAAATGATTGGACGGATTTGGATGAAATTTAGTAGGTACATAGATAGTCTCCTTGACTACTATCAGGTACCTACAGTGAAGCAAGGATAAGTCGCTAGTGTCACTACATAGTATAAAACAAAGTCGCTTCCCGCTGTCTGTCTGTCCCTATGTGTGCTTACATCTTTAAAACTACGCGAATGTTTAATAGATAGAGTGATTCAAGAGGAAGGTTTATATGTATAATACATGCATATTATAGTACAGAAAAGCCGAGAAATTCAAAGATTTGCATTTCATACTAACCGTCAAAACGTACCTAAGGATGAAACCCGAGTGAAGCAAGTGTGAGTCGCTAGTCAGATATATTTTTTACTTATAAAAATATTTAAATTACTTCTTTGAATGATAATCCTAAGATAACCGAACATAGCCCTGTCTTCATACTAATATTGCTTTGATCTTTTACTAATATTACCATGATTTATTCTATCTCTTCAATCAAACTTTCAGCATTTTAGGTTAAACGTGTATTTCTTCATAAATTTGGTATATTTCATCTTTAATTCAAATTCTCATTATATATAATATTTAATATTCAGTATGAAGATGTTTAAAATGAAATTTGATATATGTTGTATCCCTTAATATAATGGGATCCAAAAGAAAATATTATTTAAAACTATGGTTGGACCACCCTTATCACTTAGGGGTATGAAAAATAGTTTACGTCCTATTCTCAGACCTACTGAATGTACGCACAAAATTTCATAAATATCGGTCAAGCCGTTTCGGAGGAGTTTTGTTACAAACACTGTGACACGAGAATTTTATATGTTAGACTAGCTGACCCGACAGACGTTGTCCTGTCTACACGTCTTTAATTTGAAAATTTCAAACTTTTTTTAATAATTTTTTTGATGAAAATTATTATTCAAATTGTGAATCTAAACCATTCCCAGATCCCCTTGAACACACACAAAAAATTTAATCAAAATCGGTCCAGTCGTTTGAGAGAAGTTCAGTGACATACACACTCACAGAAGAATTATATATATAAAGATTAGATATATAATGTATAGCTAAGTCCGACATTTGTAACTTTAACCCGAAACATACTTTAAGTAACTTACATAACATAGTTAACAGTATAATAATATAGTATAACATAAAATAATTTTCTCCTTATTATTTAAACAAAAACTTTAAAAAATTCCAATACCCCATAGAAATGTTCGAGATAAGTCCATACGCGGAGTTCGCGCTCGGTTTCCGAACATTCGAACACGCGGAGAACCAAGACCTCCCGCACCGACTGCCGGCGAGGCCGCGCTTCGATACCGGTGAGTTAATTTATTTTATTTAATATTTTCTTAGATTTACGCGAATATTTGGCATTCATATTTCCATATCTAATATTATAAATGTGAAAGTGTGTTTGTTTGTTTGTCCTTCTTTCAAGTGGAAACGGAAAGACGGATTGGCGTTCGAGATAGTTGGAGAGCTGGAGAGTGATATAGGCTACTTCTTACCGCGGGAGATTATCTCATTCCCACGGGAAAACACAATATAATGCAATCCAAAAAAAATAAATGTATGATTCGAATTACTTGAAACTTGATTACTTATTAATTCTCTTCAATACAATTAAATAAATACGCGTATTAATTAGCATTTTTCGAAATTCGTCCCATGGGGTAAAATGTGGGATGAAAGTTTGTATCTTTATAAAGTTTTTTTTTGTAGTTTTATCGCAAGCGAAGCCGCGGGTTCTGCTAGTTTTAAATAAAACTGTCTTTTCGGAATATTTCGCGGATTTATTTTGATTTTTGGATCCGGCGTTTCGATTGCTTTACGGCAATCATGTCTCCCGTGACCATGATTGCTGTAAAGCATTCGAAACGCCAGGAACCCAAAATCAAAATAAATCCGCGAAAAATCCTAAAAGATAGTTTTATTTTATTATATATTTATTATATATATATATATATATATATATATATATATTTAGGCACAGGTCTATATATTTATATTTCTCTTTTATCTAATCATTTAACTATAAAACAGAACTTAACACTATTAAGAACATTTTTAATGTTAGGGTCAGTTTTGGTTAATTAATAACTATTACTATTTTACGCAACGTTTCACAATCTATTATTGTTTCATACATAACATTTTATGGCAGATTAGAGGTTTTCTTAAATATAAAATGTAGGAAGAATAATTAAAAATTACATTATTCCTATCGAATTGATTCAAAGTAGAGTAATGCAAATAAATAATGTGCAATCTATATGGCAAGACAATATAAACTAATAGATGGAGTTTAATAATATTCATTACGATCGCCTGAAGAAACTGTAAATAAATATAAATTTCGTTGGAATATTAACACAGCACCATCTAGTTCCATGGTAAGGTACGAGGCTTGTGTTATGGATACCAGATAGTAGATACACTACACATATACAACTTTAAATACATACATATTATAAATATAAACACTCATGACTGGAGTAGAAACATTTAGTGATTATGACACAAATGAATGCCCCCAGCGGGTCTCGAACCCGCGACCGCTGGCACAGCAAGTACACAAGGGTCACTACAAACTAAGCCAAACGTGTCGTCGTTATATTATACATATGTATTTTTGAATGTATGAAGTTTATATATGTACATCATCAACAAAAACAATTATCCTAATTTGTTTTAAACTAGATTTTACACTTCGCAAAAACTTGAGATAATTTCGAAATAAAATGTCCATTAGTTTAATTACGGGTATATTATTCGGAATGGCATGGCGGAGTAACAGCTTTGAATTTAATTCCGCAATGAATACTTTACAGAATATCTTTTAAGGAAAATTAATATTGTCTATATTTTTTCCGTAAAAATTTTCCAGGTTCATAATTATAACGTTTTAAGATTCAATTTTTAGTTAAACGTATATTAAATACTTGAAAATATCGCTATATTATATCCATTAATTAAATTTTATAAGTTTCGAAATTATTATTTTCATGTAAATTATGTTCTATTCGTACAATTTCTGAATATTTTAAGAACATAAGAGTATTTATGTTAAAGATGTGTTTTTCGCTATTCTATTATCAAATGTTATAGTGTAATCACATAATTCACATAATATGTGATTGCTAAATAAAACATTTTACAAAATTTAAACCTAGCACTTAGTAAAAAATTGTTTTTAAACACTTTAATTTTGAACCATATCCTATTATTACTTATAGTAAAAATAAAATATTACGATTTTTCCTTTAGTAAAAAAACTTTCAGAATCAATACAGAGCAGCAGTTGTAATCGCGGCCTAGCGTCTTATCTGAAACTAATCACGTGGAAGCGCAAAATCTCAGTACTTGGTTCATTAGGCGAATATAGTATAGGTATGTTTTGGTCCTATATTTTATTGGTTTATTTCAAGCCGTTTAGGCAGCGCGTGCGAATAAAACAACTTAACGACCAGTAAACACATTTTTATCAATAAATATAGCCTATAGCACTCGGAGGTAATGAAGCTTCCTATTAGTCAAAGAACTTTCAAAGTTCATCAAATCAAGTTTCATAGATTACATTAGTACATACAAACTTACAAATTTTACCTTTTTATAATATTAATGTAGATGTAGATATTACCAAACTTACATAAATATAAAAATTAACAAATCTGACATTACTCAGCTGTCTACATATATTGCAAGCAATTTAGTTTAAAGAGGATAAGGCTATATCCCAAGTCAAGGACTATCGAAGCTTTCATGCAGAAATATTTTGCTTCTTTCAAATTCAACGAACTGACATCGGTCTCGATGTGCTTTAATAAATACACTAAGCCATATATCTAAGTGAGAATTTATCATACCAGTCCATTTACTATATAGTTTATAACTTAAACCCTAGATTTTCAATTTTCCAAGACCAAATCCAATACGATGCAATGTAGTAAGCAATTTCCGGACACAACATCATTTTGTTTTATGGATGAGTCTAAATATTTCTCCTATGAGTAAGCTCATATTTATATGAATTTATGGTAGAAAATGTGATTATTCGGTTTACTATTATAATTGCGAAAGTCTTTGTGTATGTGTCTTTGTATGGTCGTTGCTTTCTCACGTTAAAAATGCTGGACCAATTTGGATGAAATTCAATATACAGACAGGCTATGACCTAAACTAACATACAGGCGGTTTAACACCTACATATATAGGAGCCCGCCCAAGCGAAGTAAAGGTAATTCGCTAATAAAAATTAATAGCTCTTCTTAACGTCAGCTGATAGTCTACCACACTAGCCTTCATCTAAATATCGGTTGATGCACTTCACACGTCTTTCAAGAACTACTTTAAGCAATCACACAAGTTTCTTTACGATGTCTTCCTTCATCGTATTAGCAAATAAATTAATAAAAAAAAACTATCTTTTCGGGTTATTTCGCGGATTTATTTTGATTTTTGGTTCCCGACGTTTCGAATGCTTCACAGCATCCATGGTCACGGGAGAGACTGAGGTGTTACATGTCTTGAATGTATAGTTGTTACAGACAGCCTACCCACAATTAACAAAATGAAAATTGCACCAATTACAAACCGAAAAGATAGTTTTATTTAATAATGTCAAACATTCGCGTAAATCTAAGAAAGTATTAAATAAATTAATGTTGAAAATGACCTACACATACAATCAATGGGTTTAAATCTGCTTCAGTTGATTTTCCAAGCGACTTATCTAAATAATTTCTTTTAAATATAACATGCGATTTGTGATTTAAAAGCAGTTCGCACGATTATGTACTGCTGAAATCAACGCTTTTCATTCACAATCGAAAAACTTTAGCTCATTTTGTACATGTATATTATTTATGTGAATGTTGCCTTCAATTATTATAAAATTACTAAACAATGAAACAGAAAAGTTTTATTATAAAGAGATTTAATTGTACTGCAGCATTGCCAATGACCGTTTGTGATGTTGCTAGCGTTAAATAATATTAGACAAGAATTATTTCAAGCGATGTATGTTTTGCATTTATGCGGCAACATTTTTAATTTCATCTCGTCCTAATTTAGTACAAAAAAAACAGCATAAATTTTGAATATGATCATAGATTTCCATTCCTTAGTATAAATACAGTGGAGGGTGTTATTAAGTATTTATCTCTACATATAATAAAATTCTAACTGGGTCGAACTTATACATTAAATATTTTTTGGAAAATCTTATTGAAGTAGTCATTATTATCGATACATATGCCAAATCTATAGTTTTTTAATATTTTGTCTGTCCGTCTGTCTGTCTGTCTGAGAACGTATTACGAGAATACCACTGGACAGATTTTGATGAAATTTGGTATGATGATAGCTGGTTATCCGGGTCAACAATACAGGATACTTTTTAAATCTATACTAACCGTTAAAACGTACCAAAGAAAAAACCTGAGCGGAACGAGGGCGAGTCGCTAGTGTTAAATTATATATTATAAAATATAAAAAACATCCATTTATATTCATGCGCAGTTTTGTTTACAACTAAACTATGACAATACCAGTTAAACTATCGTTATATGAAACAATAGAAATATTTTTTATTTGAAATTTCATATTTTGCGCTCTATACATCGTCCTATTTGATATAGTGGATTTCCAATTTTCAAGATTTAGTCCCACAGTGCACTATGGAAGCGTAGTAGCAATTTCCGAATACAATGTCAGTGCTGAGATGAATTTAAAAATATGGTAGAATTTTCTTTTAACAGATTACAATTTTCATAAAAATGAAATTTCACCCAAACTGTAATCTATCTATACTAATATTATAAAGAGGTAAAGTTTGTGAGATTGTGAGTTTGTGACGTTGTAGGGGGTAATCTCTGGATCTACTAAACGGATTTAGATGAAAGGTAAGAAGATAGTTTGAGACCCTGGAAAGGACATACTCGTAGGATACTTTTTATCCCAGAAATCATCCCTCAAGAGGGTGAAAATGAGGATTGAAGTTTTTATCGGGAAGCAAGCTAGGAATGGACCCGAGCGAAGCGAGGGTGAGTCGCTAGTGTATTAATAAATATTTTACTTTCTTAGATTTACGCGAATATTTGACATATCAAATATAGCTTTTCGGATTATTTAGCGGATTTATTTTGATTTTTTGGTTCCCAACGTTTCAAATGCTTTACAGCAATCATGGACACGGGAGAGACTAAGGTTTTAGATATCTCAAAGGTTATATAAGTGTTGTCTGTAACAACTAGTATCAAAGTTAATTTTATTAAAAATAAATATTTTTCTTAAAACAATATGTTTTCATCTCGTATAT